GTGAACTCTGACTAATTAAGGATTAAATGTCAGTTGGCCTTGACCAGCTGTAGTGCGGCCTGGATGCTTACAAGTAAAGCTCATATGGAAGTGGCCCCATACATTATTGCTCTCTTCCCAGCAGGGCTAACCCTGTCAATGGGCAGAGCAGGGCAGCTGCCAGATGCAAGGGGCTGGGTTAGGCATCGGGGGACAGAGCTACTTGTGCCAGGTAGCCTGCTCGGTGCCCCCTCAGTTAGCCTGCTGCCCCTGGGTGTAAAGGAGGACCCTGGGAATGGTGTCTCTGTAGCAACGATGACATAAAGTTCAACTATCTATGTTGTAAGCCGCCCCGAGGCTTCGGCGAATGGGGCGGCATAAAAATGTTTTAATAAATAAAATAAATAAATAAACTGCCCATCTCACTGGTTTCTGTGTATAAAGGGTGGAGTTGAGGGATCTTGTCCTTTGCCCCAAGCAGCAAAGTCTCCTGGATTGGTTCTGCTGCTCAGACACCTTGCCAGTAACTTTGGCCAATGGGTCAGGCCATCTCCTGTGCAGATCCCATGAGTTAATGACCTGGGACACAAAAATGGCCCATCATATTTGCCATTCTCGACTATTTTTTCCTTGTAGGAGACTATGAAATAAGTATTGCAAGTGGCACCCGCTGGTTGCATACCTGTGCCTAATTTGTGAAATAAGGACAGAACTTGTTTTCCATTAATTAGGGAAGAGACAGGAAAACTAAAAAGAAATTCAAATGGTTATGGAGCGGGAGAACAAATTATTGTGGATAGATATAAATTGTTGTGCGTTAACCATCTGCAGTGTCTATGTGACATCCTTACTTGCCTTTATTTGTAAAACAGTTTTTATTCACCACCATTTCTCATATGGGTACATTTTGCCTTGCTACCAAATTCAGACAAGACAATATGGACCTGTTTTCAGTTTTCAGTTTCAGTATGGACCTGTGTGTGCGTGCTTTTGGCATTGGTATATTCCACTGACTGATAGGATGGCAACTAGCCAAAAAGTATGACAGACTGAAAAGAAGAAATCAGTCCAATGTTCTTTCATTTTGCTGTTTATCCCTCTTGATGTTCTTTGTTAATTCTCCCTCAAGAAGATTTAAGAAGTTCTTTAGAGGTAGGGAATTCAAACACAGTCTAAAAAATGAACACACCATCGTTACAAGCAAAAACTCAGGAAAATATTCATTGATTTTTTTTTTAAAAGAGTCTTAAAAAAAGAGCAGTAGCAGCAGTAATTGATGACTTATGTAGCAACTGCTCAGTAAATAGAAATTCTAGGTCTCTGGTCCCTCATGGGGAAGCAAATTCCACTGAAATTCCTGGCCCTGTTACCAAGCACATGTGCTCAAGATGCAGATCTGGCATTCATACCCCTGGAACGAAAGAATGTGATTGAATGATGTGACAGGGCAATCATTTCAGATTTTCTTCCAGGACTGAGGGTAGGGAGCTTTGCAAGGAAAGGGAAGCATGCTGATGCATTTGCAGTTATGTTTTAGCGGTGTCAGAGCTTTGCATCTGGCTCCTAAGAACATATGAAACAAGCCACACTTTCCGAAACGCCCAGACCTTCTGCAGTCGCCTCCCCCGGTTCTCTCTCTCTTCCCTCCTGTGTTCTCTTGCCTAAGTGACATCTCTTAAGTGTGCAAGTTCCTTGACGAGTCCTGATTAAAGCCGCACGCAAGCAGATGCTTAAATCCCTGTACAGTGCTAAGCCTGTGCAGGCATAAACAAATCATGAGAGCTTTTCAAGAGGGGGTAGGTGCCCCTGAGGAAACCATTTGTCTCCAGGGTTCATTTCTTGGATGTTGTTTCTGGAAATTGAAGGATCCCCCACCCCCCGGCCGTCCCCCGTTCCTCTAAACAAGATGTAGTTCTGATGAACCAGTTGGAGCTCCATGTTCTTTGCAGTCCTGTGCAGGCTAGGGTGTGTTTTTCTGACGCACGAAACCTCAATCCATTCAATTTATTAAATATTTGTATGATGGGGTTTCAATTATAATAGATTTGCAAAGCTATGGAACTGCAGAAAAGGTTATTAACAAGGGGAATGCCAATATGCAGATGCCACAGTTTTTTTCTGAATGATGAACATCTTTTCAATTTTGCAGGAATGAAAACCAAAATTAATGAGTATTCCATTGAAGTTAAATGGGATCTCCAATATAATTTCTTAGTAAAGAACTTTTAATGGTTATTATGGGGAGATACTATTAACATTCCATCTACTGTATTTTTTTCCAGTGGAGATGTATAAATGAAGTGTTTGTCCTCGTTTTAAGGACAAGTATTCCTATTAGGGCCACTGTATGGAGGTCGAATCATATCCCTTTTTATGGCAGCTGATACCGCATAGTTAGTTGTGTGTAGCGGCAGTAATTGTTCTCATAGTAAAGCAAGTTTCAGTACAGATTAAGTAGGATTTGGTGGCTGTATTGTGAAACTCATTCTCTTGCAGTGCAATTCTATGCATGTTTATTCAGAGGTAAATCTGTAATCAACAGAGCTTACTTTCTAAAAATTATGTCTGGGATTGCCACTTTAGAATTGTAAGTCAAAGACTGGACTTCATAAATGTTAGGGGTTTCATTGTTAAATTAGTTATTTATACTTACAGTCAAACTACCTGCACAAGGCAGTGTTGGGAATGAGAAGGATGGTGGTCTTGGGCCACCTCCCGGACAATTCTTCAGACTCAGAATCTGAAATGACCTGCAGCGAAATTGGGAAGGATGGGCCAGGTCAAGATGAGATGCAGGAAGCAGAGGTGGCCAAGCGCTTCACTGAGCCAGGCAGTTCCTGGGAATGACCAAGATGTCCTGCCAGTGGAAGGGGTTTCTGAGGAGGAGGAGGAATTCTCAGATACAGGCCCAGGCCCTTGCTCTGAACCCTGTGGAGAGGTGTCAACAGCGGTGGAAGGCCCAATTGAATGAGCAGTGTATGGGGAGGAAGCGTGCTTGCCTTCAGAAATACCCTCGTAAGGGGATGGGGCCCAGTTCCTTGAAGTAACTACTAGATTAGAAACATGGAACATAGAAACAGAGCAAGTCAGAAGGGTCTCCCGGGCCATCAAGTCTGACCCCTGGGTCCAGCCAGCTCCACTCATGACATGCCCACCATGTGCATGTCCGCCTACTATGTGCACGTCCCACAAACTGCTCTGTGCATGCTCAGAGAGCTGTTCTGGATGATTTGTACTTGGGAACAATGAAGAATGTTTTGCAAGCAAAATGGTCTGTGCCTTTTGACTGCTCGAAGGGGGAAATGCTTGGTTCACAACAGCTTGAACCCAATCTAGTGTTTACCTCCAGGAACTCTCCTTAGGAACATGCTTGGGAGCCATCCCCTTGGGAGGGACGTTCTGTGATCATGTGGTGATCTTTTAATTGGACCTCCTGCCTCTGCTGACGCCTTGCCACAGGGTTGAGAGGCCTGGCCCGTGTCTGAGAATTCCTCATCCCCAGAGACACCCCCCCCCTCCCCGAATGCACATCTTGGCTGTTCCCAGGAATAGCCTGGCTTCACCAGTCCTTGAAATAATCACTTCCTCCACCTCCTGCATCTCAAAATCTGGACCTGGCACATCCTCCCCAATTTCACTGAAAGTTGTTTCACTTTCTGATGCCAAAGGAGGCAGCTGTAGTTCCTTGTACAAGTTTTTATAGGGACATACATACTGAGTTCATCTAGTGTTGATACTGACCTCCCAGAGTCTCCAGGGTTTCAGACAGGAGTTTTTCCTGTTCTACCTGGAGATGCTGGTGAATGAACCAGGGACTTTCTGCATGCCAAAGGGTGCTCTGTCACTGAGCCGTATCCCTCCTTTTTGGGATACCTCTGCTTTTTACTGAATGGGCCAAATTGCAAATTTCAGTCTTATGCAAGATAATCCAATGCAGCCTTCCCCAACCTTATGTCTTCCACACGTTTGGACTGCAACACCCAGAATTCCCAGTCAATGGCCCTGCTGGATGGGAATTCTGTGAGTTGTGGTCCAAATGATTCTGAAGGCCACCATGCTGGGGAAGGCTGATCCAGTGGAGTACTTCCTCCAGTGTTTAAAGCTGCAATCACATACAAGTTACCTGAATGTAAGACTCATTGAACTTACTTCTGAGTAGATATACATAGGATTGTACTTTAAAATAGGTTCCTTTTTTCTAGCCCTGCTTTGATTGACTGGGGAGCTTCTGCCAGTCAGTGCTGACACTATTGAGCTAGCTGAACCACGGATTTATATTGGGATAAGGCAGTCTCCTACCTTCCTGCTGTGTAATCCAATGGATCCCATTCTTGTCTGCCAGAGCAAACAGATCTATCACTTATAATCCCCTTTCTGGCTAACTCTTCATGTTAATATGTGTGCAGATCAAGATAATCTAATTCCTTTCCTTTATCTGCTGTTTCTTGTTTACACTACTAGAAGAGCACATGTCTGTGTGGTCCCCTGCTTTCCCAACCTGAAACAACTTTCTGTAACTTTCTCCTGTGCTGTTTTCTGTGGACTATAGAAGGAAAACTAATGATAAAAAGCAAACCAAAAACCTTCTCTTCTTTCAACCTAAACAATGTGTAAAATACATCTATGCCAAGGACAGCTATGCCAAATGAAACAGCAGCACTGTCTCTAGAATCGTAAGAAGAAATAAAATTTTATTGCAGTTGAGCAATATTAGCTATAATGTCAATCTTTTTATCTTTCTGCTGTGTTATATAAAGTTATAAAATTTTGCAGATATGAGTGAGGGAGAGGGTGGGGAATGGGAAATGGTCATTTGACTAAACTGCAGGTTAATTGGCTTAGTTTTAGTCAGAGAATAAGAAAACGGCATTCCAGTAATAAGGCAGATCTATGCTGCTGTTGCAACGAGGGGATCCCGGTCTCCATGCAGAGGGACCTCTGGACCCTACCTCTGGGGCAGCAGATTAAACGGTTGAAGTTGGAGGTAGAGTTCCCTTCCTGAAAGATGCACTCTCTCCCAGTTTTACAGTTGCGGCTGCAGCAGCGAAGAAGCAGAGAGCAGCTTGCCAACCAGGGAATCATGCCACGTGAGTATTTCTCCCTGCTTTCTCCCTGTATCTCTCCTTCACCAGCGGGCCCAGGCAGCCTCAGCTGAGGGCTATGCGACCCACCAGCAAGACACACCATTAGGATGCTCTCCAGTTTTAGGAACAGCAAGGCAGACCTCTGTAGCTGCACCACTCTAGCATGCTCACCTCCAGGAATCAGTAAGATGCCGTGGCACAGAGATCTTTTCTTCCATTGCCGTCATCCTGGGAGGACTGTAATGCTGCAACAATTTCCCCCTCGTTCTGGTATGATAATATGCGGTAGATTAAGTTGAGCAACTAGTTCAGCACTAAAGACTGCATGGAATTTTTTGCCATCACAGACTCAGCTTGTTCCTGCAATTACATTCAGCTAAGGTCTAGATTCTAGAAGATTTACTCACCCACCCCTGCCCCCAAATCTAGGACTCTGATGAGCTGGTGAGTTGCAGCTTCCCACTGAAGCAGAGTAGAAAGTCCTGTTTACACAGCCCAGCTTTAGGGTGCCTCACAAAAGCCCTATGAGGGAGGTCATGATTATTCCAATTTTTTGCAGATGGGGAAACTGAGACTGAGAGAGATAACAGCTTGCCCAAGGCCACCCAGTGAGTCCATGGTCAAACTAGGATCTGAATCCAGGTCTCCCAGCCCAAGCACTCTGCCTGCTGGATCACACTGACTCTGAGCCACACTGACTCATAAGCCTTTGGGTGCCGCATGTCATTGTTAGCCTCTGCTCTTGCTTCCCTTGCAAACATTCTACGTCGTTGGCATGGAATGTCTGTCGCTTCCGTACAAAATGGTGCATGCCGCAGTCTGGCAGTTTCAGGGGGCATCTGTCACTGTATGCAGTACAGGTACAGCATGTGAAGTATTACAGAGTGGATCCTCTCAGGCTGTTTATGCAATGCATTGCCCAAAGTTCTTGGCAGTTTTAGTCGTATTCTGCTATCAGAATTAATTGTCAGGTCCTGCACAAATGAGGTGTCATTGGTGTTTGCCAACTGTCAGGAGATGATCTGACACCCCATAAAAGATGCTAGTTCACCCCCTAAAAGGCATTTGAATTCTCAGAGAGAGGTAAAAAGAAAGTGGCAGGGGATGTGGAAGGAAGAATAATGGCATTATTTTAGGCCCCAGAGGCAAAGGGGCCTACACCATCTCCAAGGCCCGACTCCAGATTTTCCACCGTATCTTCATCTCCTCCTACCTCTATAATCCCAGGCATATTAGGGGATCATGCTTGACCATGGGCTTCATCACAATTAAAGTCAGGGCAATGATATCTCCCTGCGTACATCTTGCAAAATCATGTAGGAAAGCAGCCAAGAAATGGGCAAATACGTGCTTTTTTCCTTCTTTTTGGCCAGACCAGCCAGACATACGTGAGATGCATGAACTATATTATGGGACCTGTGGGCATTTTCTAGCTATATCTTTAAATGCTTTTTTAAAGTGCATCTAGGGAAACATGACAACTGAAATGGCCTTGAGCACAGCGTGCTGGATTGTGGTTACATACTGTAGAAAGAAATGCCAGCGATCATGTTTGTCCCTGGCTGCGATCTTCTGGGCCTTCACATATCCATGTGAAATTATGTACGTGGTACACAGGTCAAAATTTACACCCAGGCATTGCCAGTTTGCACCCAGGGCCCAGTGAATGCCCCGGGAATGCATTCACCTAATGCTGTTCATACGATGGATGTCATGTGAATGTGGACCTGGATAGACCACTGGGAACCCCACATAAAGGAAAGGAAGATAGAATATAACAAAGACATCTGCAAAGATGCCGCTCATCCAGCTTTCCTCCTCCTTTCCTTCAATGTTTCTTTGCTCTTCTGCCTTTCCCTTTCATACCATCTTTTCTTTCCCTATTCAGTGCAGCAAATCACAATGGAAGGCTCCTACCCAGATATAAAGAGCTAGTGGTGTTGCAGGGACTGAGGTTGATCAAGTGAATGGGGTCCTCCCATTGATTGATTGATAGATAAAACAAATATTGTCTCAGTGTGTGTTTATGTAAATTTAGAATAGATTCATTGAAACCAATGGGGCAAGCAAGTCCCACAGAGTCCGTTCAAGTCCTTGCTTTTTACACATACAAGTACACAAAATGCAAATACTTGAACACTTATTTTGTTGGACAGGTAGGTTATGCATTTAATAAATACATGAATATATACTTGTAAAAGATAAAAGCTGAGAGTGGAAAGCAACATCTGCAAAGAGTTATTCCTTTCTGTGTGAGAGAGAACAGTGGGGTGACACTTGATGCAAGTCTGTGGGTATCGCTGAGAAACCAATACACCGTACTGGTTTTTTTTTCATATATGCATATATGTGCAGATTTAATTAATCAGTCAACAAAAGCTGGTAAGACTGTGCAACTAAAATTCTGTCACTGGGTGACAGATCTAGGTGTTGCTCATTTGCCTCCATTTAGCACAGGGACACCAATAGTCTGATACACGTCTGTAAGGCCATAGCAAAGCTCTCTTGGAGCTTGCCTCCTTGAACCAAATCATGCACACTTTATGCCAACTTTCAAAACCCAACTGCTTTAAAATCATAACATTTTATGCCGTGTTCCTTTTAAAATTATAATATGGAATGATTGACTTTCTTATTATGATTATCTTTGAAAATAATGCCTTTTGTTACACTGTAACCAAGAACTTATAGGGAGGGGAAATGAAAAGAAAAGAAAGATTTAGGGTTTTGTTGCAAGCATCAGTATTTGATACCAGCTCCCCTGTCCACACAAACCTTAAGAGCATGGAAGTTATTAAATTCTGACACCTGAAAATTCTGGAATAGAACTTTGACAGGTATATATTTATGATCCTCTCATTAAGCACTGCATTTTAGCACTGATTTGCCACATTGCCACCATAACTTCCACAAAAAAGAGCTTGAATATTCAACATCATACTGACAGGATTTATTCTCATCCACCTCTGCTTTCTATACATTTTACTATTTTGTAGTCTATAGAATTCACACAATTACTTCTAGCAATGTTCTTTCTTCTTGTGTTCATCTCATGTCAAACATACCCACATAAACTTTTGGTTTTCTTCCTTGTGTATTCTTATTAAATGGAGTACCATTTCAATAGCTGCATACCAAGTCTCTTCAGTGGTACACCAAATTCTGTGGCTGATTTTGCAAGATATAAAACTGCCTTCCACTACCTGGTACATTCCAGATGTGTTGAACTGCAACACCTGTAAAATGCATCCAACATATTAATTGAAAAGTGCTGTAGTCTGCACATGTGGATTGTACCAGGTTGTGGACGCTGTTCTAGAAGCAGGAAGATGTTTTTAGATCCATGAGGAGACATAGTTTATTGACAGAACCCTTTTTGGGTTAGAGGAAGTCTCAGGTCCAACCCAGCAACTCCAGGTAGGAATAAGAAGAAACCTTTTTCTGAAACCCTGCAGAACCACTGCCAGTCTGTGCTGACAATACTGGGCTCAAAGTACCAGTGAACAAAAGGCAGCTTCCTCTGCTGCTAAATTTACCAGAATCATTTTTTATCTCATCGTGCTTTTTACCACTGGTCTTGCTTCATCTCTTTCTCCTGTGGTATATGCTCGGTGATTTTTCTTTCTTCGTTCATTTTTCATGTGTGTCTTCCCTTTCGGGCCTTTAGTCTCTTGATAAGTTGCTGCTTGGTAAGTTTGTGTCTTCTGTGAAACAAAAATCCATCCTCTTTCAGGATCCGTTAAGCACAAGAGGCAAATAATAAATTAGCTCATCCAATTGCGTCAATGCAAGATGACTCATAACCCTGACAACAAATCCATTTGGTGAAGGAGGGAGGTACCAAGCAGCATGCAAGGACTAGAGGAGTCATTCGTTTAAAAAAGTTTTTTTGTCTTAATTATAATTATACTCTTTTTAAAAAGAAAGTGCAAATCACATACATGTTAACTCAAAATATTACTCTATTGCCCTTTGATTTTTCAGTCACATTTTGTGCAAATCCACTTCAAGCCCCAATAATTTGACACTTACTAGAACAGAGACCTAATTTTTGTCCACAATCCTTACTTTTGGATTCTGGACAACTTTCATTGTATAAACAACTAAGTTACACATTAGCAATGAGATAAAATTTCTAGGAGTTCTTTTCACAGCTTTGGAAAAAGGGAAACTTTGCTCGCATGCCCTTAAATCCAGAAGGCAAAAAACAAATAGCAAGATTCCAAAATGGTCCAGAAGGCAATGCCCAGCCAAGACAAGCGTGGTCGGCCTCGAAAGCTTTACCAAGTGCATGGCAATATAGGGGCAGCCTTTCCCTTGATGAGAAACGGTGCTGAGATGTTTCTAGTGAAGAAAACTACCTGGTTTGAATCCCTGGTAAGAGGAGAGACAAGAATTGGAACTTGTGGATTGGGTTTCCTTTGGCTTTCCATCTGGGGTCACTTGTGTCCCCAAAACAAAATTCAGTCTGCCTATGGTCCCCTAAAGAAAGGGTTTTGAGGAAAGAGGTAAGGGGCATGTTTCTCCTGCCACCCACCTTCTTTCCCTCTGTCTCTGAGACAGTTCTCAAAACGCTTTCACATTCTTGTATGATCAAGCATTGGACTCTGTGGGTGCACATAAGTGCCAGTGAGCTGTTTGAGTCCATCCTGTGACATCCCTGCCTAACTGGATTACTTTTCCCCATGAAAGCAAATGGTTGATGCTCACAGCTATAGGAACAGATGAAGTGTTGGTTTTGCAATGAGTGCACAGCCTGAGTTTTGCCACTGGCATTGGGTAGCTTGGCCTTCCCTGACAGACACATGCAGGGGAAATGCACATGCAGCACAGCAATGCAAGACATATCCACAGCCCCTGCCCTGCACATGAATGCTGCCTCTCATAATGATGGACATTTTGTAGCCTATTTTGTTTGCTCTCATAGATGTTCCCTGTGTGCCCTTTGTAAGTTTTTAGATTCAGCTTTGTTATTGTGCACATGGAATGGATGCTGCTGGCAGAAAGGTCCTCTTCTTCCCATTCTCCTCTCTATAGCCTTTTGTGCACCTTCCAAATCTGTTGTGGAGGGTTGGGAGGATGGCAGGGGAGGGAGGGATCAGAAGGAAGCACCCCCTTCCTCCAGCAGTATCCATCCCATTGGGGCTGACACCAATACGCCAAATTAAAACTCATGTGCGAATTTGCTTAGCACAGCTCTGAACATGCGTGGACCTCCCTGGTGGTCCACTTCACAACTGGATGTTCCCTGGCTGGCCACTTTAATGGGAGTACTTTGCACTGAAATCATTTCCAAGTAAATGTGTTTAGGAAATGTGTGCAAGGCCAGCAGATGCATCTGTCTCTGTCATCTCTTGAGCTTCTCACAGAATGCATTCAGATACTGGACAGATGGTGCTTTTCTGATAGCCTACACCTCTCTCTAAGACAGCCGTAGTTTCTAAGCCATCTCCATACAAGCCCACCCCTAACTTTCCCCTGCTTAGGTTATCATCTGTATCTTTGCTTTGCTCTCCCCATCCTCATTTCTCTTGCCACAACCTGACCTGTGACAAAGACTGATGATTTCTGTGGGTTTTCCTCCTCTGTTTTCAACCGCTGCTATAAAAAGAGCAGCAACAACAACAAAAGCCGACAGCTAATTTTGTGTAGTTGTTTTTGTAGAACTTTGTTAGGTGTTGTGATGATGACAGTTGTCACTTGCTGTGCTCATCTGGCCTCTGTCTGTTTCTGATTGCAGCCCTGAAAAGCCCCTCACCCTTCCATGAGCAAAAGAAGTGCTTGGAGAGAGCCAAGGTAACCCTGGGTAGGCATCTGAGTGGGTGGACGGAGATGGCATTTCTTAGATTTCTCAGGACCTGCCTAGACTGAGGCATGTGCTGGGAAAGCCTTGTGCAGGATGGTGCTTGAAAAGTTTGTGATTGTTGTGGGTATCTCTGCAGATATTGCGCCTATGCATGCCACACAGGAAGGAGATATACACTACACCTCGATGGGGTGTCAGTTTAGGAATTGGTAAATGACCCCATGAGAAGCTACATGTAGGCAGCAAAAAGTCCCTGTAGTGAAGCCTTGGTCCTGGATCTGCAGTGCACCAGCCTGCTCCTCTCTTCTCGTGACCTGCAAAGGGCCTTTGGGCTGCTTACCAGTGCATTGTCTCTTGCCGGCACTCACTATCAAGCAGAGCTGAGGCATTGTTAATCCAGGCTAATGGCAAAGATAAGACTGAGAGGCCATTTCCGCCCCGGAGCGGCAAAGCTGGTGATGCGGCTTCATGCAGAGGAGCTGTGGGGCTGCTTTGCTGAGCAGTCACCGGCCCCCGTGGCCAAGGCTGCTGCCGAGAAGGGATGTTCGGTCGGATGATCTAAACACTGGCGTTGCTGTGGAGGCTGGCGGTCTAGCGCTCCTTACCTTTGCCAGCTGCTGTGCCTATGGCTATCGCCCCTCAGGGTGCACCAAATGGGCCCACTGTGGGAATGCAGTGCCTATGGAGGAAGCTCCAGGAGAGATTCAGAAAGAATATTCCCCCCATGTTCAGTGGAACAAGGTCTTTTCCCCGGGGGTCCCAGCAATACCCATCCCAAGCAGATGGATATTTTCTTTGCCCCTGCAGATACAGCGGGACAGACCAGAGAGCGCCTGCTTGCTTGGGGCAGCCTCTTCCAGGTGCTCCAGACTAACAGGGGCTCTCCTACCCAGAGCAGGCATGCAGAGCAGGCTGGGGCCCTTTGCAGAGCTGCAGCCTGCTTTGCAAAGACAAAGGCCTGGCTTCACTACCTGCTCTCTCTCGTTAAAGGCCTATAGAAATAAAGCTGGCAGTCTTGGGGAGCTGCCTCCAGCCCTGGTAAGCAATACTGGCCTATACGGTGGACCAATAATGTAAGACAACTTTGTAAGGCCCTAGAAACCTCAGTTGGTTTGAACTGCTCAGAAATTGTAGCTGTAATCCTCTGTCTAGTCCCATTTAACAGGAACAGATAGAGCTCTTTGTAGATCTTCTTTTGTTTGTCCTCCCTTTTCTTGGAGCAACCTAATCTGGTTAATCTGCATTAATATGGAGGACCCTTATTTAGGTCAAGGAAGCAACGAATTATTACTTTTGCTTTACCATCTTTTTGATTCTGCACAAGACAAAGAAGCACATGCACACCTTTTCAAAATACTTGATGAGGATTACATGTCAGCATTTAGCAGAATTCTTCATGCATATAGGAAGTTGTCTATATTACATTACTTTTCATGGGTGTCCTGCCTTTGCCAGTATAAGGAAGGATCTATAGCCCGCTGCAAAAAATTAATGTGCTAAGGAGACGTCAAGCAGTCTGAATTATCTTTGAAGTGCTGTATATTTCAGTGTTCAGGCATAGGTTAATATCTCACTGTCTCGCTTCAAAGGCTTCTACTGGCTGGATGCCTGGAAGAAAAAAGGATTATATTAGTCGAAAGCCCTAAACTGGATTCGTTCAGAGAGAAGTAGAACCAAAAATACATTCTAAGGCTTTATTGAAATTATTGAAGGAGCGGGGTGGACATCAGAATGTTTCTTAGGTGTTTTAGTTTAGAGGAACTGACAGGAAGTCTGCTTGAAAATCTGTGCTCTCATATAACATGAAACAACATCAATTTAATGACTGTGGATTTAAATAAATATGGCAGTATTTATGTGGACAAAAGGCAGCACAGGGCTGCAATTATATCAATTCTGGTGAAGGTAATGAATTTACTTTGATAGACTTTTGTACACAGAACTGAGATGTAGACTTTTATGATCTGTGTTATAAGTAGGGATGTATGAGAACTTTGTTTGTACTTGCAAAACAGTCAAACACGCTCAATTCGCAACCCCAAACACAGATTAGCAGGATAATGTGTTCCCAAAAAATGCTTGCAAACTGTCAAGCACATAGTTCCAGTTAAAAAACGGAAACATTTGCATTGAACAAGAGATGTACAATTTTCCAGTTATAAAATTGCAGGATTTAATATTTTAGTCTATATGAGAATTTGGAAAATATGCAGATTTCTTGCTTAATTTTCCCATTTGATCAAACATAGTTTGCAAATGACTGTGGTAACTGAGAAAAAAAAGGACATCAAGCTGAGACTCTGGATGCATGTGAAAAGCACTTGTCCATCCATCCTTAGCTGTAATTAACACTGAAGCATTGTAGATTTAGCACATATTCTGTGTGAGTGTTTAGTGACACAATTACCTTATATCAGTTATAAGGTAACCTGTAGAGTATTTTGAAAAACTTGTGGAAAAAATCAGGAGTACATTAAGTAACCTATCCAAGAGTCCTAAGCAAGAAGCTTTTAGTATCCAGAGTTTTTTTTTTTAAGAGTTATATACACATTTTTAGAAATACAGAAAAAGGCTAAACCAAACGAATGAAGGTCAGGGCAGGTCTAACTGAATCCTCTCCAAGTAACATTGTCTAATACATGTCCTGCTGCTGAGGCAATGATCTCTGTTCTTATGTACTATAGACTGAAGATTATTTAAAGCACAAGATCCGAAACAGACCTGAGCATTCCGAATTGGTGGATATGCACATTTTGCAGGGTAAGACCGAATGAGTGGTTCTCCAATGTTAAAAAATTCTTAGTGCTGTTTTCATCTGTGAAGCTTAGCCCTATTACTCTGTCCAGCTTTTAAATGGGAAGTTCTTTAGAGTGGTCAAAATCCAATGATGGAAGGTAAATCTGATAGTTTTAAAAAATGATCCTGAAACAAGTGGCATATTGGTCCCTTTGCAAGTAACAAACGAGTAGGGAGGAAACTTTTTTCTGAAGTGCTGAGATGTATTCATACCAAGTGTGTTGCAGAAAACAAAAGTTTCCTTCCTCAAAGCAAGCTAAAAACAATAAGGAAAATGCATGAAAAGATATTTAAGCATATACTTAAAAATACAATTCAACTATTTAAAAAGTAACGTTTTGTACTGAACTGATCTTGTAAGAACACAGTTTAAGAATGTATCTCCTGTAGGGACTAATTGGATTAATTTATTGACTTGCTGACAGTGCAATTCTATATTTTGTTGTTCAGCTGTTCAATCGTGTCCAATTATAAGCGATCCCATGGGCCAAATCTTGCCACACTTTCCGATCCTGTGCCATTTTCGGCTGAACTATGCTCTTGCAATTCTATATATGTCTACTGAAAAAAATAAACTGCACTGAGTTTAATGTGACTTATTCCCAAGTAAGTTACTACAGGATTGCAGCCTTAAACAATTAGGAATAAAATTGAATATTTTTTTGTTATAAACAAATCAATCACAGGAGAACTAAACTAACAGAATATTACAAATTATTAGAAACGATAAACTAAAATATCCAGACAGATGTGTGTGGGTGACTTCAAACTCTTCCCACTAGCAATCTACAGAAGTAAAGTCATTAGCACATCAAACTGAGAGTCTGAATTTATTATTATTTATTTACTTAAAATTTTTACATGCCGTCACTTATCCATGACATCTCAGGACGGCTTGCAATCAATGGCCCAACCTATCTTTATAGAGTTCCAAGAAACTGCAGCAGACGTACTTAAAAGATATCATTACAACCAGTTATTATTCTCTGCTTATTAGTGCTATGTCAATGGCTCATGAGTAATATTCTTTATTTAAATTTGGAACTGAGCTCAATCCTTACAGCACTGAAACGTGAAAATTACCACCAGGAAACTTAAAGCAACAAGAGGATCTTCAGTGTTTTCCTTTGAACTTGTTGGAAACACATCGTAGAGTCCAAATCTGTTATATTTCTTGTTCTTTAAATGTAATAAACTGTTTTTGTTCTGGATTCAAGATGTTCTTTACCAAATGCCAGTATATACAAATACTGTTCTGGGGATTTTGATAATGTTATTGTCAGTGGGGCTGCAAACTAATCTTTCATTACATTTTGGCAACTGGGTTAAAAAATCATCTCTATTCTTAATAGAGACCTGTGTCTTTGCCTTCTTTGCAAATGCTTGGGGAGATCCGAACAGGTTTGTGTACTCTCTTCAGCTTTTAATCTGGGAGCTTCTTGTAGCTTTGGCAATCTATCTACAGAAAGTAGTTTTAGCACAGTTGTAATACAATATCCAATTCAATAATGTAGAAAGCAGTGAACCAGCCAATTCCAGATACGTTTCCGAAATTTTTGATAGCCACATCAAGAGAAGTGTAGACTGTGCAAAGACAATTTGGAGGGTGTGTTGCAGGTTGTTGGGGGCGGGGTGATAATGTAGAAATCGTGTTCCCTGAGTGGTTTCCTTCTGCTGATGGGTCCTCTCTGCTGAATCCAACCCTGGGCAAAGATTAGTGATCTGCATAGCATCAGAGAAACCTGAGAAATTGCCTACTCTGGATGGCTACCTAAAACTGACCTTAGTTGGGGTTGCTCTGACACCTAAGAGACCAAGTAGATAGTCTGAAAATCCTCCTGCACTTGGTGCTGAGTGGGCAAGCCCAGGTGGCTGTGCTGTCCAAGAGTGTGTCTCACAAGCTTAGACTAGTATACCAGCTGCAACGCTATCTGAAGAGGATGCCCCTTGCCACAACTGTCCATGCACTGGTGATGTCTAGACTGGATTACTGGATGTACCATGCATGAGGCTGCCATGGAAGATGGTCCAGAAACTGCAGCTGGTGCAGAATGTGTCTCTTCCTCACTGCTGGTGGGTATGATTTGGGAGCCAGTTAAGAGCGTGGGACTGGGACTCAGGCGATCTGGGTTCTAGTCCCTGCTCAGCCATGGAGCCAGCTGGGTGACTTTGGGCCAGCCTTCCTCACAGGATTGTTGCTGTGGGGATAAGACTGAGACCAGCAGGAGGAGAAAGATCTAAACCACTTTGAATTCTTAAAAAAGTGGGCTATAAATCTAATAAATAAATAAATAAATAAAGCTTTTATTATCCCAGCTGCACTGGTTAATTGTGTGTTTCTGAACCCAGTTTAAAGTGTTGTTGACCTTTAATGACTCAATGGTTGAGACCAAATTACTTGAAGGACCACCAATATCACTCTTCCTGCACTTTCAGGTCAACAAGGTCAACCATCCTCCATTGCCCAAAAGTGAGAACAATTGGGTGGCCATCCACATAATAGAAGGCCTTATTTACTTGTTTATTTTTACATGTGTATGCTGCCCCCTACTCCAAATGGAGTCCCTGGGTGGCTTAGTGGACCAGCACTTCCAGAATAAGTTGCCACTGGGGGCCTGCAAGGCTCCATCATTCCTGGGCCTGAAAACCCTTGATTAGGAGTATTGTAACTGTGGTTGTCTGTTGTTATGCTGTTGTTTGATGCTTTCAGAATTTTTCTGCTGTTTTGATAGTGTTTATATTTGTTAGAGGTTTTCCTGCCTCATGGCCACAGTGCTTTCCATTATGTGTTTTATTTTTGTATGCCACTTTGGGAGAGCTCTTGCCCTGAAAGGTAACTAGGAGATATTTCAAATAAATACCTATCACCCCAGGGCACAATCCTATGTATGTCTATACAGATAAAGAATTATTCACCCATGGATTAGCCTATGCATCGCTCACACCTCAGTCCTCTGTGGTCCAGATGGTGTGTTAATGTGCCTCATGAAATGGGCTGCATGTTGGTTCAGTATTCCTGAATGGTGCTATTTATTGGCTGCACAAAGTTCAGTGTGGGTAATACTTCTGGTGTGTCCGATTAAAGTTATGGAGTACCAACCCAGTGAGCAGCTGTCACCGTGGGCCAAACTCTAATTTATTTATTAGATTTATTAGATTTGTGTTACAGCTGCATCCGGGTTCACATTCTTGGAAAGCAACCAGCATGTGTCCTCTTTTTATCAATCGTTCTGGCATATTATGCAGTCTAGTTTGAGATTGTTTATTTTTTGAAGTGATAACAGAAATTCTAATTTCACTTTCTGGACCCATGACACAGGCCGGTCACTTTGTGGAAGAATAGATATTTTCACTGTTGGCTTACAGATTCATCTGCAGAAGAGTCCATTCAAGCTACTCAGATGAAACTGAAAAGAGCTCGTCTTGCGGACAATCTGAATGAAAAAATTGCTCTGAGGCCCGGTCCTCTGGAGCTGGTGGAGAAAAATATCATTCCTGTTGACTCAGCTGTGAAAGAGGCCATCAGAGGTAATATCAGGCAAATCACTGCTAACACTGCTTCAGAGTCCTTGCACAGGACACAGAGGGGTCACTGTGAGAGTCCCTTGCCATGTGACGTGTGTGTGGGAATGGCTTTGAAACAATTCCCCCGGAAGAACACCCGTCCATGTGGAAATGCAAGCAGGATCCTAGTATGCTAGGCTGGTCCCTTCGTTACTGGTGGGTCCCCTCAAATCCAGCATATCTCTTTGCTAGCTGAGCAGGAAGACACTTGATCAAAGCCAGACATGGCCCTGGCAAGATTACAGTGCGCAGAAGGAATCTTCCTTCCTTTCACTGCTTACCGCTCCCTTCCAGCCTTTCAGGGGCTTTTGTGATAGAGCCTGTCTTTTCCAGCACTTTACTTATCAGCAGAAGCCAAGGGTCAAGTGCTTTTGCCTGCTAGATTGCAGGATATTGCACTGGAACACTTTCCAGAACTCCTTGGGTATGCTGAGTGGCAGAAAAGCATCATCTGATATAAACCACATTGATTCTTGAAGAAGGCAGACTGGTCACAAAAAGAGACTCTTTACTGCATTCTTCTAAGTAAACTGCTGGGTGGATTTTTCAAAAATGCAGAGCACTCTAGAACCCTGAGGCTGACGATGAGTTCCTTGGAGGCACATTCTTGCTCTGAGTTCCTTGAACCACCTGCAGTAAGCCCTATTTTCAATACCTCGTACTTTAGAACAAATAAACTTATGACTTTAAAAAGAGGTTATGTGTTCTGACCCAGGCAATCCCAGTTACATTCTTCATGGTTATGAGTCTGATGGATAAAAATGAAGAAACTTCTGCTGATTTCTGACTAAATTAGAAGTCCCTGTAGGGCATGCCAGCAAGGGCTGCTAGGGGCTGGTAGGACGCAGATTATTCACTCTTGCTTGGAGGTTCTGAATTTCAGTCCTTAAGCACCTTTTGATCAGGGGTAAGATGGTGATGTTCTTCAGCTATTCATTGGTGCAAATCAAAGAACATAATATCCCTGGAAGAATCCATTTCTCTCTCTTTTTTAAAAAAGTGTAATCATTGTAGAAAATATCCTGAGCATTTTTGTACAGGGTCTGTTGAAGAATCAGGAAGTAGAAAGATTATACTTTCAGTGACCAAAGTTTGAGGCTTAGGTAGTCAGCACCATTTTATCTTTGCTCAAGTTTTGGTAGAGTGTAAAATAAATTCTGCACCCAGCTCAATGTATTTTTATGTGATGTATTCCAATTCAATTTTTTATTAGCAGTCCTCTGCCTCTGCCTCTGAATTTATGACTTCCTTTGATAGTTTTCAGTTGACTATTTCACTATCATGTTAAAATTTGCTTCATTTTGTGGACACAGGAATTGCTTTTGGGCTTGAATAATAAATTGCCTTCATTCTAGTATTAAGAAAAAAATATACTAGTTTATCCTGTGGACATGATAGAGGTGAACAAAATTATGCATGGATGGAGCAATTGGGTAGGAAAACATTTTTCTCCCTCTTTCTTAGTACTAGAATCTGGGGTCTTCTCATGAAGCTGATTAATGGATAATTCAGAACTGATAAAAGGAAGCACAGTATGTAGTTAACTGTGGAACTCGCTACCACACAATACTGCAGTGCCCAGCCATTTGGAGAGCTTTAGAAGGGGAACTGGACAAATTCATGGAGGGAAAGGCTATGTCTGGCTGCTAGTCCTGATGGCTGCATGCCAGGTCTGCTCTCAGAGGCACCATTCTTCAGTAATGTGAGCTGCTGTACCTCCTAATGATGGGTTTCCCACACGCCTTTGATTCCGCAGTGTGTGATCAGAATTCTGGGGCGCTAGATGGACCTTTGGACTGGTCCCACCTGGCTCATCTTACGTTCTTGAATTTGCAAATCACTCACTGGCCTTTTTGCTGCTTGTACATTCATTAGGAACCCATTGCAATTCACAATCTCCTCATAATTTGCCAATGAGCATTTTTCCTTCCTCGCTAAGGTACCCAGTCAAGCTTCTCTAAATCTTCCGATGCCTTTGCTTTTGAAGAAGATAGCAGCAATGATGGGATGTCCCCAGAACAAGTCAGAAATGAGGATTCTCAAGGATCCGCAGAATCAGCATCAGGAACAAAAATTTCTGAAGGAGCATTCTCTGCAATGTCAGAAACAACTCAGGTAAAGTGATAATTCCTACTGCAGGCACGTCAGATCTCATAAGATATTGTTTGACTCATTTCAGTGAGCCACTATTAGGAAAAGGAGCAGCCACATTAATTAGAAGGGTGCTATCATTAAGTCTGCATGCAGTCAAATACTCTATAGAAACAGATAACTTGGGGATGTTGGGAAGGAAACAGACTTTGCAAGTTCAGTAATTATTCAAAGCTGATTCAGGGGAACCAGATGACATCATATCTCATTTATTTAGTTATTACATTTCTATACTGCTCAATAACCAAAGCTCACTTGTAATCCACCCATGTTTACCTGCCACTTCTAACTTTCTTCTTTCCACAGTAAAAGGTCTGTTAATGAGACAAAATATGGAATAGCTATTCAATAGGCAGTATCCAGTGGGCCATCAGGGGGCAGAGATGATTCCATTGTAAAACTGACACCCACTTTTCATAATAGATATTTAGTGGTTTCTTTAGGAATGAGAAACAAGCAGAAACGTTCATTTTTGGAATGATGGGTTGACAAAGCTCACAGAAGGAATGCCATCAGTCTATCCAGATCCAGAAAGTAGTGTTTGTGCTTGTTCCAGGGCATCCTAAAGGAAGCACAAAATCCCTGTTGTGCGAGCCGTGGGTACTGCTTTCTGAACAATGTGTGTCTTTCGGTGAAATGCGGTTTCATCCTCCAGCTTTCCAACTTCTGTTCACTGCTGACAGTCTTGTTGGTTCACGTTTGGGGGCATTTGCTTCCTAGTCACTTTTAAAACAAATATTTTGCAGCTTTGATTTATTTGCTAGATTGATAGATGAATTCAGTTATTTCCTTTGAACAGTTTGTTCCTTGCAGGCCCAGGACCTCAGATAATAAAGCCCTAGCATGCAATTGGCAAGTTGGCTATCTTAAAGAATTGAATTTATATTTTAATGCCACTGCCAGGGCTTCTGATTAGGCCTGCAGTTGGTAGGTGCCTATGTAGGATAAGGCCAGTGCAGCCTCTGAATACTGGTTGCTGGGGAACGTGAGGGGACAAGCGCTGCTGCACTCATGCCGCACTTTTGAGCTTCCCACTGGGAAAACAGACCACGGGACTAGATCAGCCTTTCCTCTGATTCAGCAGTGTTGTTACATTTGTCTATCAGTTAGCCCAATCTGGAGGGAAAGCTGCACAGTGCTGGATCCAAGTTCCACTTCTGTTTGGGATTTGCCACATATGATCGTACTGATGTATTTACCGTTTCCCTGTAAGGTTGGCCAAGCCAGCTGGTTTTGGCATATTTGACTCCCAGACAGTGTTGTGCTGTAATCTTCTTCCACAGCCCTCCTGGATAGGAGCTGACAGGCGGCAAGGCAGCTTTCAGGCTCTCTGACCCAACACAGCCAGCCTGGCTAACAAATGGAGGTCTGTGGAGTCCATCCAAAGGCAAAGGCAGGAGGAGGATGGAAGAGAGTTGCCAGTATGAGCTTCGCTTCATCCTGGTTTTTTAGCTGCAGTGATGGGTATGCATACTTGCAGACTAGATACTGGCTCAGCACTCAGCCTTATCTCCACCCCATTACTCTGAGAGGGCTCTAGGAATCTGCTGCGTATCCATTGCATCCATACTCTCATTACGGAAGAGAATAGCAGAAACTTAAATGTACAAAACTGCTCAGGGAAATAGGGTTTTCTTGATTCAGTGCAAAGAGGGTGTTTTCAGCTAGTCCTACTGCTATGTGTGTGTGTGTGCGCGTGCATGATTGTATGTATATATGGTGTGCATGCGTAAAACATTTGCTTTCACCCCAAATTATCCAATAGAGAACAATCAGTGACGGAACTTCTAGTAGAAAAATGACTGAGCCCAGGGGAAGCATATTCCTCTTAGGAAGTGGAGCAAGATCCAGTTGTGGGTAAAAAACGAAATGAAACAAACCCCTCTATGAAGCATCCCCAGACCTCTTTCACAGGGCAGTGCAGCCTATGGAGGAAGGTCGGCCTCTGGTGGTTGCATAAAACACGGGGGTGTCCTGCAAAGGATCCTGAGCCACTGTTAACCTGAACACGACATATTCTTGGCTTGGGCTACCCTCCTCCATTCCAGCAACTTTGTTACACAGTGTACTTGGCATGGGGCACCTCCATTTTCCAAGCACTTATGGCAAGGAGCCCAACCATCGTCCATTTGGTTTCCCTAATAGCACCAGCCTCTTATATGCGATCAGTCTCAGCAATGCAGAAACACTGCGATGGGGGACTCCTGAATTGCCAAACAGCAATGAGGATGGATTAAGATGGGGACAGAGAAATGGAAGATTTCTCTATGATAGATTTTTTTTAAATGTACATGTAGATTGTGCATTACAGAGCAGTTTCTGCATTGCTCAGTGGAATGGATTTAGCTGACCACATTAGGTCAAATGATCTTCACACTTTAGGGCTGCAGTTCATTTCTCTCACTGCTGACTGTCCATTCTTTTTATCTCCCTCTGTTTTGGGCTCCGTAATCTTTTTTCTTTGCCAGGCTGTGGCTCACATTATGGATTTCATATTCGCCACAATTGGCCATGTAGCTCTTCATAATAGCATAGAGTTTCTAGAAACATCTGGTGCTGACAAATGCAATTTCTCAAGGAGATAATGTCTGGATCAGCTCCAATTAAAAGGAAGAGAGTGAACGTAGCCAAGATGTTTAATCTCGAAAACTATTGTGGCATATTTCTGCATGCACCTGTAACTATACATGTGTATATCGAGGAGGTTTTTGATTTCAGGGTCACTCCCAAGGCTCTGAAAATGATGCCGCTGATTCAACTTCTCTGCAGAATAGCCAGCCAGAAAGTCCGAAAAATCTGAATGGGCAGCAGGCATCTCCTGTCCCTATTGTGGCCACCTCTGCAAAGGTATGATCCTGGTCTCCAGTGCTTGGTAAAGAAAAATGGTAAAGATTACCTTCTGGCTAGGCAACCGCTACCGCTAATCTGCAATAAATAAAGCCAGTTTTAGAGCTCTCTACAGAGATGAATCACAGAATCCGTGGTACTGGTTTTCTTTGGAGACAGGATTTACTGTGATTTATCCTGGCAATACTTCTTCATATCACAGCTTTGCATCCGTTTGAATCCTGGGACAAATATAATTACAAATGCCTCAATTAAACAATGGGGGAATATGGAAGATTACTGATACAAAGTTTATATCAAGCATTTCAGTGTAGTTCCATCCATGGAGCAGGCACAATATGAAGGTGTTCAGGCCAATTGGCATAGAGAAGGCTGAGGGATTACGGCCAAAATATCTTGAGGGACACAAATTGCCCTTCCTTGAGTTAGCTGAATGAAAAGCCTACTTTGAGGCAGCTTCATAGTTGAGAATTTTTTACGTTCTACCTGAATACAAAATTCTGGAGTGTGGTGTCAAATGAGAAGGGAGCGTTTGTGAAGTATTAGTGTCGGTGTTAAAATACTTTAAAAAGGCCACTGGTGGACAATCAAGGTGGCAAATCAAAATATTTTAAAGGAATGTGTGTCAAATTAAAGTGTGAACATGACATGACCTTCAGTCCTGGTTACTCTGTTTTTTTTACCCACGCCTGAATGCAAGAAGCTGAGTAAGAAGGGCATCATTTATGTTCCCCTGCACAATTGTGTTGGTGTCCCCAGAACAGCAACCATCGATTGGCATACCATTTTCTCGAGAGTCCTGAGAAAAAGTATTCTACTGTCTTTGGAGAGAGGCTGCCAGACTTTCAGCAGAGTAGCTTAAGCAGCTAAACTAGGGGAGGAGAACATGTAGCTTTCCCTCACAGATTTTGTTAGACTACAACTTCTACCAGCCCTAGTCAGCAGAGCGAATAATTACCTTTATTGTAAATTTCCACAAAAAATTGTTTTAAATCCCCAGTAGTAACTGATGTTTGTAGTCTAATGGATTTGATCCTGGGTCTGCCTTTCTTCCATGAGAGGAAGGAACCTGCATTCAGCAGGGCCTCCTGATTCTGTGCAGCACTTTCAGGAGGGGCAGCCCAGGATGGGAAGGGCTATGGAAGTCCACTGTTGCCAGCATAATTGATCCGGCTTAGACCTGGATCTGTCACCACAATTGGAAGCCCACAGGTTGACCATCCCTGGGCTAATGGGCAGGTCATTATAAACCTCCCATGTTGTCTTAATTTTTCTGCCTTTGTATTTGTGTAACACACAGTCCAAATCATCCAGTGATAGCAAAAATCGTCACAAAAAGCCCAAGGAGATGAAGCCCAAAGTGAAGAAGCTGAAGTATCACCAGTACATTCCCCCGGACCAGAAAGCGGAGAAGTCTCCTCCTCCCATGGACTCGGCCTATGCAAGGCTCTTGCAGCAGCAGCAGCTCTTCCTGCAGCTGCAGATTCTCAGCCAGCAGCAGCAGCATCGACATCAGCAGCATTTCAACTATCCTGGGTCACATTCCACTCAGCTGAAGTGAGTTGGTAATGGAAGTGTTTCCTATAGTAATTTTACCACCTGACTCTGGCTTTGTGCTAAAGCTGTGCTACAGGGAACTGGGGGCATGGCCTAGCCCAGGCAGTTCAGATTTCTGGAACAAGATCTCAAATAAATGGATGGTATGGGAGGGCAGGTGGTCCTGAAAGATTCCAGGTCCTGAGTCATTTGGGGTTTAAAAGACTAAGAGCAGCACTTTGAATGGCATCTGGAAACAAACAGGTAACCAGTGCAGAGTAAAATGAAATGGGTGCTATATGGTCTAAAACCTTGGCTCCACTTAGCGCCCCGAAAGCAGCACTAGTTGCAATGTCCATACATTTCTCAAGGGCAGGTCTGTGTACAATAATCCCGGGACATGAATGGCTACAATGCAGTTGGATTTCATCACGTACAGCAGCTGGAGCTGCTGGGGGAAACTGCTGGTTGCCACCGACACCATTAATGGGTGCAATGGAACCATCAGATCAAGGAGCACACCCAAGCTGCAGGGCTGCTCTTTCAAGGCGAGTGCAGCCCCATCAAGATGGGCTGTTCTCCTAAACTTCAGTCAGGCGGTGCTCCCACCACGTGTAGCGTGAACTAAGTTTCAGCTTGTTACTGCAGTAGCCTACAGTATCCACCACCATGCTAGGATCATAGAAAAGTGATAGAGCTGGATGGGCCTTGGTAATGTAGTTTTTATGGGCTATGGCTTCTTGGGCAAACTGCGTGCCCGAAGGAGTACAGTCGCTCTTCTCCCTGACCTGCTCTTCTCCCTGTCTACAGCAGGCTGCTGGGGCACTGCTTCCACATTTGCTCGGTGAGACTTGTTTAAAGGGGAGGAAGAAGAAGGGTTTGGGATCAAGAGTTAGTGGGTAATTGAAGCATTTTTCTCTGGCTAAGACTCTGTTCCAGGTCCTTGTACTGCTCACCTCTTCTTTGAGATGATCCTTGTGATCCTGCAAGCTTGTATCTAGGCCCAAGCTTGTTCTTTGCCAGCAACTCTAGTCTGGAATTGCCGCAAACATGTCATTATCCTGCCTTTCAATCTCTGCAAAAGCTATTGCTAATGCAAAGTAATGGGAAGTTAGATCAAAACAGCACCCAAGCTCCGCTAAAAGGAAGATTGGAACTGTAGCACTGGCACAGAGACCTTCATGGAACTCCATGCAGCAATGCAGAGGGCTCCTTCAGTAGATCAACAGCACATTTGGCTGCATTTCCAGGATCTGATCAGGTGCCAGACTTGCTGCATGGAAGTAAGCAAGATGCTGCAGGGACTGGGCTGCACTATCTTACTAAGATAACCAAGAATATGAGGGCTATGTGGTTTAACCAGGGTGAGGGGGAGAGGGAGAGGGGGAGAGAGAGCAAAGAGAGAGAGAGAAGGAAAGTTTTCTACCCTTGTGTTTTTTAGGCAACCAAATGAGCAAATGGCCAAAACTTCAAGCTCCTCCCCAACAACGACCAGCAGCAGCCCTCTTTCTCCTGTGAAGGGAACCTTTTCCGGCCAGTCCTGCATTTCCTCTCTCAAGCCGGGTCCTCTCCCATCCAATCTGGATGACTTAAAAGTGAGTGTTTTGTATGAAGACGAATGCCGTGAATAACATGCCCTCTATGTCATCTCTAACCATGTGAGGAAGCAGCATCTGTGCCCTGAACACATTTCAGTCCATATGCAAGAGTCACTGGAATTCAAACATCACCTGAATTTTAATTTCAGAATATTGAACTTTGGTTTTTAAATGCAATTTTTGTCATGCAGCATTTGAAACATTATTGACTTCATGTCTGGTCTCTAATGTAAATCCAGTGAGCATGAAACCATCTGAATTGAGACTGCATGATAAGTTAAGTCACTGCCACGGATTACTTTAGTTCAAAGTACACAATGATTTATTTTCAGTTAAATAGGATTTAAATTTGCAAACTGAGCATGACTCAGAGTATTGAAAAAGTACTCTTCTAGTGATAAGAAGTTTAGCATAGACTCAGTTGGGCTAGAAATCCACTGAAATCAGGCATTCAAGCCTGGTTCAAACACAAATTAACTGGTATGATTTGGATTTAGAGATGTCAAAGTAATGGTGTAAAAAGTAGCACCGAGTTCATTATGACAAATGTCTAGCTTGGTTAATAGCAGCTTAACGTAGGGCACAAACTTTATCCAGTCCTTATCAGCCCAGAAATTGCCACTCTTTGTGAGCACAAATAAACCCAAGTTTAGCTCTGCTCAAATCTAAAGTAGTTGGGTTCAGACAAGTAGCTACCTTGCCACCAAACTGAAGTGGGGCCAGAGATCTTCATCTCATGGTCTAAATGGCTTTAATTCCAGGTGTCAGAGCTGCGGCAGCAGCTGCGAATAAGGGGCCTCCCTGTATCTGGAACAAAAACAGCCTTGATGGAACGCCTGCGGCCCTTCCAAGAGTGCAGTGGGGGCTCAGTGCCAAGCTTCAATGAAATAACAACTGTTACCTTCCCAGTGACCCCAGCAAGCTCTCTCTCCAGCTACCAGTCACAGTCCTCGACCAGCCTTTTGTCCAATGGCTTCTACCACTTTGGCAGCACCAGCTCTACTCCGCCCATCTCCCCAGCTTCCTCCGACCTATCCATGAATGGCTCCTTGCCAGACAGTTTCAATGAAGGACCAATGTCTTCCCCGCCATTTGTCTTGCACCCTTCTCCCGTGCAAGGCGGTTGTGAAGAGAGCCTGATGGGAGGTGTGAGTGGGGCTGGCATCCCGCTTGATGTAGAAAGGGTTGACACAGAGAAAGACAAGATGCTGGTAGAAAAGCAGAAGGTCATCAATGAACTAACTTGGAAATTGCAACAGGAGCAGAGGCAAGTGGAGGAGCTGAGGATGCAGCTCCAGAAGCGCAAAAGAAGCCATGGCTTGGAGGAGAAGCAGGCTCCGTCGCGTTTCTTTGGCTTTCCAATCAAGCAGGAAAACACGGCGTCCAGCTGTCCATTTGCCTCGAAACAAGCTTCCCTGAAAAGTCCGGCCAGCAGCTCTGACACACTGAGCAATAGTGGGACACCTCAGCTGCCCCGACTTGTAAATAGCCATTGCATGGAGTCTTCGGGACAAAATGGCATGCTGTCCTCCACTTTCCTAAGTCCACAGTGCTCTCCCCAGCATTCTCCACTAGAGGCAGCAAAGAGTCCGCAGCACATCAGTCTTCCACCCTCACCAAACAGCCATTACCTCCTCTCTGTGTCCCCGAACACTCAGGGAGAAAGACGCAGCAGTTCTCCACAGCCCAGCACCCGTCTGTGCACGGCTCCGGTAAGGAAACGACCTACCCATATTCTGCAGGTCAGCCTGACACCTCGAGTGGGATGCTAGAATGGCAGTACGAATGATTAAGGGAGCAAATATAAATTCCAGTGATGAAGCCAAAGCTACGTATGGACAAATAAAATGTTTTCTATCCAGCAACTAACCTCACAGATGAAAGAGTTTCAAAGTCCATAATCAGGAAAACCCCATTTCTAGTCCCCAACCATGTGGCTCAAGCCCAGCTGCTTGGCAATATAACTAAAATATTGGCAGTACCAACCTTTATAAGTGCTTTGGAGAAACCAGCAATGATGGTGGTCAGGGAGAGGCCTGGAGAAAGGCCTTTGAGGATGGTTGCAATACTTGGGGCAACTTCGTGCAGAATGTGGTATTTTTTTGTTTGTAACCTGCCCAGGGAGCCTTATAGCTAATGGGGCAGGATAAAAAACTAATAAGCAAGCAAATAAATAAATTAGCTAGCTAGCCTCCAGCTGCTGTTTGGGGCTTTAGAAGTTAAAAGCAGCTCTCTGAATTTTGTTCAGACAGTGCTATGGCAGTGAAAGAGGTCCTGCCATCTTTTGATCCAACTGAAGTTGCTGATCAGCCTTCAAAGGCAAATCTGTTGCAGTAATCCAGACAGGACAATCCAAGAGCATGGGCCATAGCAGCCCAAGTGGTGGAGGCCATTCCATGTCCTGAAAGCCGCTTGAGCCTCCAGTGGCACTGTTTTGTCGAATAGCATCTCTTGGACTATGGAGCTGGCCTCCAGAGGGAGTGCCGCCCAGTCAGAACACCAGTTTAGAGACTGGGCTGGTATATTGACCCAGGTGGGGGTGAATGTTCAGATGAAAATTTCCACAGGGCCATCAGACTAGACATGAGAAGATTCTGAGGCTTCCTGTGTCCTGGTGGCTTCTTAACTACGTTTGCTCGGCAATATAGCTAAAATATGGGCAGTACCCACCTTTATGGTGCTTTGAAGAACAGATCCGTTTGATTCGTGTTGTTCCTTTTGCTTTCATGCAGGTGCCAACACAAGGAGGTCCAAAGTATTCCATGTTGTCCCCCAGCTTTTGTAAGTCAAATGCTTCCCTCGCAGAGGGAAAGCAACCACCTGCCTATGCAGATGCTGTGAAACAGGTAACTGTCTGGTATTGGCAACAGGTGGGTCTGATGTGTTTGGGGGCCTTTGCTGATTTCAGATGGCGTGGCTCACAAGGGAACCCAGCAGACTTCTGGCAGGGTTAGCACTGTAGAAATGGGGCTTGTCTAGTCAGATGGATTAAATACACACCAGCAGATCTGCACAACTTCTGACTTGCTCGGAGGTTGAATAAAAAACTGAAGTGAGAGTCTGCAGTCTCTGGCAAGAGGCAGAGCCCTTGACCCACACTCCTGGGGTAACTTACCATGAAAAGAAGAGCAAGACTGCTACTTCTGTTGAGTGGATTCCTGAAATTTAGAAGAACACCAGGGTGTGAAAGCCCTGAATTTGTAAGCTGTGGCTGTCGTGGAAGCAATCCATGAGTACTTTATTCAAGTACAGTGGAAGCTACAGTACTTGAAGCTTCCACTGTGGAAGCACAAGAAGCTACAGTAATACCTCGGTTCATGAACAAACAAACAATGCACCCTGGGTGATCTGGCTGTGTTTGCATGACAGGACCACCAGCCTATGATGTATTGTTGGATGTATAGCCAGAAGTGTGGCTTCCAGATCCAGGGAGGTGTTGATACCACTCTACATGACTCTGGTGCACCCACAACTGGAATACTGTGTCCTGGGCTGCACATTATAGGAGAGACATAGCTAGGTTAGACCCTCATTCGGCGCAGGGTCACATGAACAGTAACCGCTTGGGAAAAATGACATATGAGGTCTTTCCAGCCTGGAGAATAGGTGACTTATAGGTATGTGAGGGGATGTCAGAGGAGAGTACTCGGAGGAGAGCTTTCTCTGTGGTGGCACCCCGGCTGTGGAATGCACTCTCTAGAGAGGTCTGCCTGGCGCCGTCACTATATGCTTTTCGGCGCCAGGTCAAGACCTTCTTAATTGACCAATATCTTAAAGCTAATTAATTTTAATTGTATATTTATTCATTTCATTTATTTTAACCATGTCATTTTATACTCAGTTGTGGTGTAGCCAATTTATTTTGTTTAGGATTTATAATATATTGTAAGCCGTCCAGAGACTACAGTAATGGATGGCCTATAAATTTCATAAATAAATAAATGTGGAGGATAGCCATTATCTGTTTTTCCCTGCAGTGGAAGGCAGGATGTGTTCCAGTGGGGCAAAGCTCAAGGAACCAGGCTTCAGGTTGGATGTCTGGAAGTACTTCCTGACAGTTACGACCCCTAGGATATGGAATGGGCTTCCAAGGGAGATGGTTGAGCCCCATCACTTAGGAAAGTTTGGGGATTACATGAACAGAGCTGGCTGGAGCCGGGGTCAGACTAGATGGCCTAGAAGACCCCTTCTGACTCTCTCTCTTTCTATGATTCCAAACCATAGTGGGTAGTCCTGTCATCCAAACCAGGTCAATCAGTTCAAGGCGATTTTTAATAGCACGTGCGTACAATGGCAACTTTCTGACTTACCTTGCTTCACTTCTTGGTGCAGCAGATGACCCGAAGTCAGCAGATGGATGAGCTGTTGGATGTGCTTATTGAAACTGGAGGTAGGTGAGGCCACTAGGGTGGGGCTCTTGGGTCTGATCTAAGGAAACACGATCAAGCCTCTGGCTGCCCATAGAAGACAACCTGAGTGTGACACTTCTGGAACTAGCCATAGCCAGCTCTCTCTGGGGTCTAGAGCCACCATGTAGCCAGTCATTGCCCACCAAGAAAGCGCTACTTGTGGTCATGCCCACAAGGTCTACTACTTGACCTGCTTGCTTTCAGCAAACCTGAACTCCTTTGAAGACTTGGCTCCTGTTAATCAGGGAGGACAGTGAGCAGCATTGATCTTTGTATTCTGCTCCTCCAGGATGTCTTGAGGTGACTTACAACCCAATGGATAATCAACCAAGGATATAAACATAAAACCAGCACGGAAGCAGTTTTTAAAAGTTCATTAATCTTAAACAGGAGACTACAATGCTTTGAGGCTGTGGGCATATTTTGACAATTGAGAAATTATCCCAGGTACCACCTGATATGCCTGCCAAGAGAAGTGTGGCAAAGGACAAGTAACCCACTCAAAGACTGAGCACCCAGCAGAAACAGGGTCTGGGCCTCAAGGGACTAAGCGATGCCCTTTGAGCCCAGGTACAGCACCAGCAGTGCCAGTTGCTAAGAATCAGTGTTGAGTTTTGGTTTTGTTTTGTTTTGTTTTGTTTTGGGGGGGGGGGGGGGCAAGACACTTTATATCTGCTTGAAAGCAATTGCAAAACTGCTGCCTACTTTCTGATACTGCTGAATTGGCTGTTTCATACTGTCCAGCAGGGATGGGTCACTTAGGGCTGTCCAGATGTTTGGGCCTAGAACTCCTGTTAGCCTTAGCCAACATAAGGTGAGAGATGCTGAGCTGTAGACTCAAACATCTGGAGGGCCCTAAGTTGTCCACTCCTGCTGTAGAGAAAGGAATCAAAGGCTTCTCAAGAGCCAGTGTGCATGGCGCTGCTCAATATTTGGTGATATTAAAGTTACCAGTGGTGCCCTGGGAGTAGGCTAGAGGTGGTCCTGTTGTTGATCTGCTCTGTCCTGTCATTTTTTGTTTCCAAACAGAAATGCCTGCCAATGCCAAAGAGGAACGCTCTTGCCTTCAGAAGATGCCTCAGATAACAGTCTCTTCAGGAACCTCCGGAACATCCTCACTACTGAAGGCGTCAGCTTCATTTGAGCAAGCTTCCTCAAGTCAGCTCTCCTTTGAACACTGCCCTAGCAGCAATGACAGTCATCTGGAAATTTTGTTGAATTCCCACAGCCCCCTTGGGCGGTCAAGTGAAGTCACCCTCCTAAAGGTGGGTGGCGAGGAACCTCACTTTGAAGGGGTGATGGAAGGATTTTCTAGCAAAGCTGCTGATGAACTGCTCACGCCCCATGAGATCCTGCCGACTCCCCTTTCCCCCATGGAGACCCCACTGTCTCCCTCTTCTGTTGAAGGATCAGGCTTGCACATGAGCTTCACGGAATCACCATGGGAAACAATGGAATGGCTGGACCTGACTCCACCCAGCTCAGCCAACGGCTTTGGTTCCCTCGCCACCGCGGGGCCCAGCCTCTTCAACATCGATTTCTTAGATGTTACTGATCTCAACTTGAACAGCACCATGGATCTGCATTTGCAGCAATGGTGAACCCTGTCAGCCCCACGAATGGGATGCAGGCAACCACATGCCCTTTCCACATAAGGGATTGAGCAACTATGTCAAAGAGCTCTGGTACCATCCAAGGAGAAGAAACTGGAGTCACTTTTCCCAGAACACAATTTCTCTTTTCACTATAAATGGAATCACCAAAAAATTAAGCCCCCAAAACTCACAAAATCATCATCATCCACTTCTAGCACTGGATCCTGCTATTCCTCCTCCTTTTTCTTTGTGAGCAAATCCAAGCCCTGTGAAACTTAGCTAACTTTTGTAATTTACAAACCTATTGCAAGGGAGACTCCCTCTGTAATGGAACTGTATTGGGTACACACCTGTCAGTGTTATCCCTAATGTATCTATCGGCCTTAGCAAGGTATTGTGCTGAACTGCCCTACTAGCTATTGAGCGCCAACCTTTGATTCCCTTGTGGCTTCCAGTACACTGTCTGGGAATCACTGCCTCTTATTCTTAACACATGTATGAGCTCTTCTCTTCTCTTCTCTTCTCTTCTCTTCTCTTCTCTTCTCTTCTCGTCTGTCAGCCCACAAAGCATGATCAGACCAAAGTTCTTGCCATTTTTTCACAACTCAAACCATCCTTTCAAGTTGCTCTCTCTTTGCCCTGTCCCTCTTACGTTACTGCTGTTTAAAGGCACCTTAACAGAACTGAAACAATGTGACTTATTTTGTGATGGGCACTCTCTTTGGAAAGAAATCCAGAGTAGAAAAGAGTCTAGTGCAGACATCAGGAAGAACAGGCTCTTCTGTAGCCTTCATAAATTGTCTGTTTCAAGGTACAGTCCTTCTTTACATACTTTGATATATTTAATGCTTAATTTAAAATATAAACATAATTTGATATTCATATAAATAAAACTATAATATTTCAGCGCAATTCCACACAAGATTCATCATTCAAATCAACCATATTCTTAAATATTTGATATTTAAAATATTAAAAAATATATTCTCCATAAAACGAGCATACAAAATTCACTCATTCACAAAATTAATAATCAGATCATCTACAGAAAATTTCCAACAAGCAATAAAATAACCATCAGTTTTTGCTTCTTAGTAAAACTCCAGAATTTTCCCTTGACCACAAGTATCATTCATCATGTCTGTCAGGGAGTTTTCTAAAACTAAGACCTCGTAAATCTAAGCTTTTGCAATTGTCATGTGCTGTCATGTTGTCTCCAGCTTATGGTAACCCTGTGAATGAAGGCCCTCCAGAAAGCCCTGTTCTTGCCAGCCCTGCTCAGCTCTTACCAACTCAAGGCTGTGGCGTCCTTTATGGAACTGATCCATCTCACCTTTGGTCTTCCTTTTCTTCTCCTGCCTTTGGCTTTTCCTAGCATGATTGTCTTCCCTTGCGAGTCTTGCCTTCTCATGATGTGTCTCAAGTGTGGCAGCTTCGAATTTGCCAGGGCAAGTTCTGGCTTGATTTCATCTTAGGACCCGCTTGTTCATCATTCTGTCAGTCCAGGGTATTTGCAGAGCTATCCCCTAGCACCATGTTCAGAAGGCATAGTATTTTTTCCTGTCAGCTTTCTTTACATCCTTACATGTGATTATTTTTTCTTCAGTGTGGCCCTTCCAAGTCTCAGGCTTCTTTGAATTACTTGGCTGCAGTCTCCCTTGAGCCAGAAGTATGCAAGATCTTTCACAATTTTAATTTCTTCATTGTTGACATTAAAGTTGTGTAACTCTTCTATAGTCATGATTTGTGTTTTCTTAATGGTCAGCTGCAGCTCTGCTTTTGCACTTTCTTCTTTTACTTTCGTTTCAATTCATTGCTGCTTTATGCAAACAGTAAGGTATCATCTGCCTGTCTTAAAGTATTGATATACATTGTGCCAATTTCCCCTCCTTCCGTTGATCCTTATCCATTTTTTTTATGATATGTTCTGTTTACAGATTGAGCAGATAGGCAGATAAATTACACCTTTGTCTGATGCCTTTGTCAATAGGAAACCATTTCAATTCCTCATATTCTGTCTTACCAGTAAGTTTCTTGTCCACGATACAGGTTTTGCATTCAGGCAATCAAGGGCTGAGACACACCCATTTACGGCTTGTGATCCACATAGTCAAAGGCTTTGCTGTAGCTTATAAAGCAGAGACTGATCTTCTGAAATTATTTGGTGCACTCAGGAAGTATATCTTTGCTCTATGTTCTTGGGTGCCTCTTCTTCTCCAAATCCAACTTGAATCTCAGGCATTTCTCACTCCCTGTAGGGTAAAATTCTTTGTTGCAGCACCAGGAGCATTTGCTTGTGTGGGAAATTAGTGTAACAGTCCTATATTTGCTGTACTCTTGCATATGGATTGGAATGTATATTGAACATTTCTAATCTGTGGGCCATTATTTTGCTTTCCATATTTGTTGGCGTAAAATCTATGCTTACATTTGTTTGTGTTTTTTTTAAAAATTCTCTGTTAGATCCTTTTCTTCTTAAAGAATCAGCCATAAAGTTTGAGTTCTGATTTTTTTTTAAACAGTTTTCCAGGTATTTGCCTTTTTAAAGACAGTACCTAATTATCTGCCCTTTAGTAAAAACTTGTTCCTGTTTTTCAAATCACAATACCTCAGGAGTCAAGTTAATTTAAAAAAATCAGAACTCATAAATGTTGTTACTGATTCTTCAAGTAGAAGGAACTAATGGGGATTAAATTTGAAGATCCAGCATTTGAAAGTATTAGTTATTTAACTGAAACACATAATTTCCATCGATATGACTGACATTCTAAACTCATTTGCCTAGAACTAAGCCCCATTAAAACTAGTTTACCCATATAGGACTGCACAGTAATTATAACAGGGCAAGCAAATACAGTTTTAATTCAAGAAAATATGATTATGATATGAGCATGTACAGCAGTTATATAGATTTTGAGGGTATTTTTTTTCTTTTGATTTATCTAAAATAAAGGGGATGGTTATCCACATTGCAAACAGTGGCCCAGGGATCATAGGTTGATGTGGCAAGGGAAGGGGCTGGAGAGGAGGAAGGAGAGTTGTGGATCTGCTAGAACCTCTTTTTACCTGTCCTGCTCAGTCAACAAGACTGAAGCTAGAACATTCCCAAGGTAGAACCACCAGTCTTCTCACGTGCCTGCCTATAGGGCTTTGGGTGGGCAGAAGCCTTACACCTCGGAGCCTTCTGTCTAACGTATTACAGTACAATTGGATTGCACTTTTAGGAGCCATGCCAGAATCCCTGGCCAAGCATCACAGAGACCGCAGGATGGCTCTGGAACCCTCTTCAGGATTGCAGACAGTGCTCTGACCTCCCAAGAAGGCATCAGAGATCTGACCCCTGACCCCTTGCAAATGACTTGGAAAGAACTGCATCAGCAGATTCTCTGAGGTTGGGAGTGGGAGGAAATGGGGCATTATGGGCACAAGCAATCCTGCCTCCCTTCCTTCTCCTGCAAAGCTCCTTGCCTAGATGGGCTGAAAAGCCTCCCATGAAAAAGCAGGCGATTGGAGAGTGGTGAAGCAAAGATCACTCCACCCTGCAGGTTTCTGCCCAGAAAGGCAGTAGACTCTTGTAAGCTCCTGAGTGCCGTGGCTTCTGAACAAGGTGTCCATAGGACTGTCCCCTTAATACCCTAAATATTGTGGCTGAGATAACAGCAGAGGGTGGCTTGGGGTAGATTTTCCACTGGAATGATAACTCTTTAAACTGAATCACTACCAGTTCACCATCTTACCTGAACTACTTTTGGGTTCCTCTCTTTCTATATCTTCCTCAGCCATTGGTTAAGTATCACTTTGTATGGTTTGGTTTTATCTGTATCTGCCTCATCTATCATCCATAATGAACTGTAAAACTAGTCCTGCTTCATTAATAATGTTTAAGCAATCCCCTACTGATACATGATTGGAAACTGCCCGGGTTCTTCTGTTATTTTCTTAAATTCTCTCCTTTTTTGCTTGCTTGCATTCTCAGATGTAAATCTCTATATGTGTTTTGGTATTCAAAACATTCGGATTTCCCTCTTTAAACATCTTCATAATTACATTTCTTATCTAAAACTGGAAGATTTTATTAAGATAGCTCTATAGTTCGATAGCTTTTTGTTTGCTGATTGCTTGATTGTATATACCAGCTCCCCCCATGACCAAAACGGGCTTTTCTGTATACTCATTCTGTATACTAAAGAAACCCAAAGAAATCATTTACACAGAATGCCATTCATATCTCTAGAATATGCCTTTAAATACTTTAAATATTATTTATCTTCTAACAGCACAATCCTATGCATGTCCTCTTTCTCGAAACAAACTTCCTATTGATTTCAGTTAGGCTTATTCTCAAGCAAGTGGGGAGAGGATTGCCTTCTAAGTCTCAGTGATGTTCTTTTGAAAGCTCTGACTTCTAGATCATCTACTAGTTTAGATATCCCACATACTTGTTTAGATAGCCAGCAAACAATATCTGATACCTTGATTACTAGCTATGTAAATCCCTACTTCATTTTCCATGACTTTAATTCTATTCACCTATTGCTGTTTTCCTTTCAAAATGGATGTTTTCATCAGGTTTCCTCCCTGCTTCCTCCCACATATTTTTCTTCTTATCACACATTTCAGTCTTAAGATCGCCTCCTTTATGGCATTTGTTTTCTGCTCACCCATTTTGCAGTCCAATTTCTTTTTATCTAGTTTTGACTCCATGTTCCTAATTTTTAAGAGAGAGTAAGAATTTTCTATTAGGTTTTCTCCATTACTAAAATCAGTTGTCTTTCATTCGCACTGCTTTCCAAAAGATTACTTCAATGGATGCATACAAAATCTAGGTAATTTCTTTAAAAATGTGGTGCTTACATTTGTCTTGATAATATAATGTGTTAATTGAAATAGTAAGACATTCATACAATATAAAATAGAAAAATAGACAATCTTGGATCATTTTGCAATCATGGATAGACAGGTAATCATGGATAATATATAAGAAAATTTAAATAACTAGTGGTTTTAAAATTCCTATTAATTTGGAGGACCAATTGCTGAGTTCAGTAATCCATAGCATCAACAAAGTATGAAAAATGGCAGCTAATTCACTAGCTAGTTCACTCAATGAACCAGTTATGCAGACCAAAACACACGCTTCATGCCTGCACACGCGCACATGGCTTCCCAAGCACTTTAATTATAACACATCCTTAGCAAGCCTTTCTGGATGTTACTTAGCAGTTTTGTGTTCCTCATCATTACAATAAGCTTACTTCAGTTAATCCAAAAATAAGAATGCAATCTAGACTCAAATGCAATCAAGCAAATGTAGGTGAGCCTAGGCAGGATAAAAATGGTCCCTACAGGTAGCTAAGTGTGAATAGGAAATCTCATTTTGTCCTCTTCAACTTGCTTTTTTAAAGCATTCTGTAATTCAGCTCAGATACCATACCAATTCTGCCAAGCTCTTCCACTTTCCCAGTGAATATTTTAGCATCCACTCAGGCAGGAGCGAGCCAATTGGTTTGGTGAGCTGGAAACCATGTCCTTGTTCTCAGTCATTGCATCTTGTGCTCCCAGCTGCACAGGTGAGACACCTGCAGAGACAGTGGCAGGCTGGCTCCCAGGCCAGTTCTCTCCCTGCCTTTCTGACACGGCCTCATTTTAATGAGATAAGCATTCTTTGTACGTGAAGACATGTGCTATCAACCATGGTGGAACAAGGTTCTGATTTTTAGCAGTAAGATCCAAAAGATTTTAGAAGTGCCTTGTCAAGGAGAAAGAACTGTCAGGAGCCTAGAATTCTTAGCTTCAGGGATGATAGCCTCTCTCCCACTTGCCCTGTCTGGCAAATGTAGTCCTAAGACAATTTGCAATAATCACAGAGTTTAAACAGCATAACAAATGAACACTCCACATACTGAAAAAGGACTGAAAGCACAACTCAGAAGAAAGTCCATTTGACTTCAGTGAGGCGTACTCCCAGCTGAGTAGGCATAGGAATGCATCCCAAGTCTTCCTCTTTGTACTAGCATGAGGCGGTCAGGAAGTTAAATGGCTACATTTCTTGCAAGCTATTTTTAAGTACAATGACCTGTTGTTCTAACTCAAAAGGTCAAGCCTAATTGGTGGACGTCCACTTGCGGAACAGGACTTCCCCTCACACTGTTAGTAAAGTGCTCACTCCAGTTACTGCACAGGGCAGACCTTGGAAAGGGGTGTGCAAAGCTTTTTGTTTTCTAATCTCGGGCAAGGTTAAGCTAGCAGGTACAAGGCCAGGCCCAAGCAAGCCCAGCTACAGAACTATTTACCAGCTGACAGTTTAAAATGTAGTAGCAAAATCCATTATGTTCCCAACCCCCTTACTTCTTAGAAGACAAACCGGAATATCACATAGTTCAAAAGTGTTTTGTTTTGTTTTTCAAGAAATATGCCGTGGTAGAGCTGACTTGTTCCTATCATATGTTTCACCCTGGTGTTGCTACTCCAACAGTAGCTAAATGAAGGTTCTGTGTAAGCACAGTAGCAACTGTTGGAGTTGATAGCAATTCCTACCCTTTGGAAAGAAAAACAAGCACGCACATGCTGGCCCTGCACATAAGGAGTCCTCTTTCTGCTGCGAGAAAGGGCTCCCTTCACTCACTATTTCCCCCTTAGCCTCTGCTTAAAACATAGGAACCACCTATGGCACTCTTTGAGAAGGAAGCACATGCATGCTTTGACATACATCTGGAGGTCCTGAAGGCAGGACGCGCTCCAACGGGGCAAAGCGCAGGGAGCCAAGGTTCAGTTTAGGTGCCAGGAAGCACTTCCTGACAGTCAGGACTCCGAGGGTGTGGAATGGGCTTCCACGAGAGGTTGCTGAGGCCCCATCGGTGCGGGTGTTCAAGGATAGGCTGGACGTCCACATGGTGGGCATGTCGTGAGTGGAGCCGGCTGGGGCCGGGGGTCAGACTAGATGGCCCAGGAGACCCCTTATGACTTGCTCTTTTTCTATGTTTCTATGATAGGCTGGACCTCTGCTGAATTCCTACTCATGCAGCCATTTGCCCTTTAGCCCCATCTCTTCATGCTCTCCCTAGCATTCATTCTAAAAAGTTATTACCTCCTCTCAGATTGGTTTTCTGACAGTAGATCAGATGCAGAATGGTTGGGCATAGGAAACTAATAGGTCTTGATGTGGAAGACAGGCTAAATCTTCCCCAATAGCTGTATCAAATTATGAGATGGATGGAGATAATGAAGACATTGTTTTAAATGTAGCCACTTTGGCTCTAATCCAGAAAAAAAGTCACTTAAACAAATCATGTGATGTACCTTCAGTGATAGCAAACTCTATTTGAACTCAATCTGAACTCACCATATTGGTACAGAACTTGGAAGATATCTTTTTAAAAAATCAGTTGTTTCGAATAAAGCAAGTCAGTTGATCCCATAATGCTATTAGACAGGCTTACAAACCCAACAATACTGCAAAACCATGACTGTCTTACAAACAAAAGTATCTCAAAATAATTGCAAAGCATACAAATTTCATACTGAATTGTTCCTCGCAGTGCAGTCCAATGTGTTTCTGCTCAAAAATAAGTCCTACTAAAGTTCTGCCAAAAACGCTTCATCTGTGCCAAGGATTAGACTTCATTCTTTTCTTAAGTAGAAATCTTTATCATAGACAACAACTATAGCCTTGTCTGTTGCAGCCTAAACAGTATGGCAGGAAAAAGTAACAAGGCTTCGTGTCAGAAGACAAATGCCTATTCTATGCAGTTAGGCCAGGGTCCATCTGTATTGAGTGGAAGGGTAGACAGACGCACCGCTAACACTGGCAGCTGGACACGTGCTTCCTATCTCTTCTTGTCTGAAAACAGAAGGGCAGCTGCTACTAAATCAATAGGGGACAGACTATGTTGTACATCATGCTTTATGATGCAAGCTGATCAGAGCAGAGGATAACCCTTTAAAACAAAATAATCTGTACTGATGTTTGCAGCCCTCCAGTTAACTTCCACTCAGGCGGCTCCTGTGATGTAAATTAATGTATCTCAAAGATATGTATGTTTAACAACATTGAAGAATGCAAAGCAAATCCTTTACAAGGAGTATTTCAAGACTAGCAGCAGTATTCCGTCATTACTCCTCTACTGTAAGCTACATGTAGAATCACGAATTGCCACATGGAGTAGAAATGTTGCTTTGTTTTGTGGGAATGTTACACTCACATGACAGCTGTGGCAAAAGGACAATTTTGGGCATGCCATTTTTAAATCTTTTAATGCAAGTTTAAAAATCTGTCCTAAAGTGCTTTTTAAATTTATCAGCATGGTGACTTCCATAGTTTTTAAAAACATAAACTAAAAAATGTTACCACTAGTTAAAATGGCAAAACTACTCCAAAACAAACAAAAGCAAGGTGCCAAAAATTACAGAAAGCAGAAAGGCAGCATTCAAAACATCGCAATTATTTTTAAAATTATTTTTAATATTTTTAAATTAAAAGTTAATTACCTATTTTTTTAAAAAAAATAGGCAAATAACTGAGTACAAATTAAAAGAACAATAATTAAGAAGTTAACATGAAGGTAACAGTGAGTGCCCCAAGTAGACATGTGGCAATGAGTTCACCTGCCTGATGCAGAACTGCAGTCATCAAAAAGCACTCTGTTTACAAAGGCTAGAAGAGCAGCGTAGAAAGCAATCTACCCCTGTAGATGGCACTATTGTTTTGTTTTTTCCCCTGCAAAAGTCAGATTTTCTGTCGTCCGAAAAAAGAACTATGGGGAAACCACAGGAGACTAATGGTTTGATGGTGTCATGCAGATGCCCTGTAGGAAGGGCACGGACAGCGTGGCTACTCCACAGCTAGTGCACAATTGTGTAGTGCCACTGTGCACATTCCACTGCAGCAGGAAAGAGGACTGGCACCTCGGAGAGCAAGGCTACAGAGAACAGTCTGCTGAGCCATCCAGCTGTATTCCAACAGGCAATACCAGTTTGAAATACCTCTTCCGTGTAAGGGATGAACCTCTGCCGTCTCTCTTCACATGGTACTGCATCAAGCTTTCAAGGTGGAGTCCTCCCACACACATTCCCTCCTTCAGCACACTCATCCTTGTCATCTAAACTATGCAAGCGGCAGGCGCACAGAAGACGGTCAGCTTTCTTCGAACTTGCTCAGCCTAATGAAAAGTTCTCATTTACAGCATTGTGAAGCAGAAGAGCCATACAGCATGAGACTGAACTTCACATTAGTGCCTTAGCCATGAGGCTATTGCCTTTTTCTAGATTTTCTGCCCATCTGTTGTGTGGGAGAAAGATTAAAAACCCATACAAAATCTTCTAGAGAACAGCTGTGAATCCACCGATGATGAGGAGGAGCTTGTTCTGCTAAGCTAGTTGGGAACTTTGCAATATCTAGTTCTGCTTCTTCTGTAAATCTCTATGCAGTGCAATTCAGAAATGTCTCCCAACATGGGATGGGGGGGGGTGGAATTCCCTTTGGCATCTTATCATATAGCTTGTGGCTGCTTTCTGTGGACTTAGCGACTTCCTGAAACTTTGTAAAAAGTAAATATTGCAAACCAAAGATCATTACAAAAGTATTTACCAACCGAGTGTATTTAATATTTGTGTTACTGGAAGGAGCATTTGTTGGAAATCAAGGCGGCATCAAAAGGGCTATGTGGCCTTGAGTGTCTTCTTGGCTGAAGATCAGCAAGAGAACTGTCTCTGCAGACCTCAACTCCAGCCTCATTAAGGTGATTGTACCCCCGAGGCGTAAGGAAAAATAACAGCTGGCTTAAATATTGCTGCATGTTGTATAAAAATGTTAAGTGTTTGTAAGGTCACTATGTAAAGCATGATTTTTCTATTGTACAAATGTTCACAGTGCACTGGTAGAATAGAATAATCCTTCACATGCTTCCTTTTATTTTTTAATTTTAATATTCAAAAAGCTAGAAGTCATTCCATTGAGACTTTTTAATAGCACTTCAGTCCAAGAATAGTTTTCAGTGCTGCGCTGTCAAGTGGTACAGGGCTTGAGCAACAGCTCTATTCTTATTTAAAGGGATGCTGTCAACTACTACCAGAAACAAACCACACACTGTAAATAAACACACTGCCTTACCTCTGCGACCAGCACTGCCATTCTTATTAAAAGAATCCCTGTGATGTTACTCTGAGCGCTTTTTTTGCAGTTATTTTCTCATGTGCATGTTTTACAATAGGCCACACTCCATTCCAAGCTGCTACTGACAGAATTCTTCAGAGCATTATCCCGAGGGCTTGTAATATATTGCAATAGTTCTCATTTCAGCCTTGCAAAAACAGCCCTCTTGCAGTAGGTTAGGCTGAGGGCCAGTGACTTGCTCAGTGAGCTCCATGTCTGAGCAAAGCTGAAGCAAGTCAAACACCGGCTGGCAACTTAGCTGTATCTGTTTACCGTTTTCTAAATGCTAATGGAGATCCTGGAATGTAATTTCCATCTGCAGTCCTCTTAAGAAATCAGATTCTTTTTTTAAAACAGTCCTCCCAAAATAAGAAAGACTGAGGAGTCTGCTGAAGGTCTGGAGAATGCATGGGAATGAATTAAAATGGTTTCAATACAGTTTGTGGAAACCAATTAACACAAACATACAAAGTAAGGCAGATGGAAGGAACAAGGCAAAGCCATGATATAAAAACAAAAGGGCAGCTAAATTGCTGGCTATACTTCAGTGGCACAATCTGCAAATGAGCAGGGATGCTGTTGCCACCAAGACAAAGGCAATTATGTGATGTGTTAACAGAAACAATATTCCTAATGTATGAGCAGGAAATAGAGCCCCATTTGGCTTTCAACCACAACACTGATTCCCCAGCTAGAGACGACAGCATGGCAAAACTGATTCACAGGGGCAAGGGATGGTTTGGTTTCGTGAAAGGAAATCAGTCAGGATAAAGTGAGTATCTTGTGCTTATGGGAGGAATTGCCCCAGGGTTCCACCATACCTTTTGGTCCTTTTTTGAAACAACAGTAAACGGAACCCTGGCCAGAGGAAGATAGCATTTTTTACAATTTTGTTAAAATTTATTGATTTTCCCATCACATATCTGACCTTATAACAAGAATAACAAGGTCATAGTTGCATCCTTGATTTATTACAACTGACCTGCAGGCGAAAAAAAATAGAACTTTTACATTAACACTTTGATTCCATGTAGAATATTTTAAATAGAAGAGGAAGGAGTCAAATCAGGAGAAGATAAAATAGTTGGAAGCTTTTAAAAGCTATCATGTTGTCAAACTCCAGTTTACTTACAGACGATAAGGCAATATCCCTGCACATCAGCTTCTCAATAAACTTTTATACATTTTTTCTATGGTACAAGAAGAAAAAAAATTAACCAGTTCACAATGTACAGTTCTTACACTATTTTCACAGCTTCTGAACACTATACATCTTTATAAACAGACACTGTAATATAAATGCTGCACCCTTAATAGTATATTATAATAATCTATGATTAGTATGCTAAAACTGTCCATCTCTCTCAGTCATCCACTGAGCCTGAACGGGAAGCAACCTCCATTTCCTGGTTGTCTGAATGGAAATGCTCCACGTCAACATGCAAGAGTAGAATGTGGAAAAGGGGGCTATGGTAGCTATTCAATTTGTGGCACAAAGAGAAAAATAAACCAAGTGTTTAGCCTGTACAGGAAGCTCCAGACAAGGTTAAAGATAATCCACCTGAGAGGACTGCAAGGACGAATTACTGCATGAGAACTGGTTTCCAATTCAATGCATTATCTTATTTGGTGTTGACCACGTCCTTGCATGGATGAAGTTTTTGCTTTAAGATTGAGGGATTAAAGGTGCTTCCACATGAGACTTTATCATGCAATCACTATGCCTCATTCACAGAATTTTATAGGGTGTCTAGATGACATTGTCGTCGTCTTCTAACCCTCTCTTGCTTTCCCACCACTACTTCTGCCTTTTTTCTTTCCACAAAAAACTGTTAAGGAAGAACAAACAGAACAGCTCTACTTCATTGTTTGATTGGTAGTGCTAGGTGCCCTCCATCTGGCAGCATCTCAAGTCAACTGGCTACCCAGTTGCGGGCTTTTCACTGACTCACTTGTTAGGAAGTTCTTTTCTCTTGCTCTGGAAAAAGAATCATTACAGTTGTTTTTCTGCTATATGCCTTAAAGCATTTAACATTTTAATTCTCTCATCATCTTACTAGGAAAATCTTTTCACAAAAACTAATCTTCATTTTTTGAAGGCCTCATAAGAGGCCAAATTCATCCACAAAAAGAAATCAAGCATATTTTAGCATCCATTTCCCAGTGATTTTTGGCGTCCAGTGATCCAACTAAAGGGGATGGAGTAGGCTTATTTGATTTGGCAGTGGATATCAGACATGAAGCAGAGACCCAAAGCACACCTGGAACTCTGTGAGAAGCTTCTTGATTATGCCATTGGAGACCAGGGGCAAGTGAATTACAAATATTTAATGATAAATCTGTGACTGTTTAGCCAGCTTAATGAGCATGATGTAGTTAGAAATCAGGGTTCACAAGCCAGTTAAATTCAATTAAGTATTTTAATAATTCCTCAGATCAAAATCTTATCTCACCAGGTAACAATTTACAGGACACCTAGTTCTACTGAAGAGTGGCTTGTTTGGAAAATTAAAGAATACATTATTCTTCATCTCTTGTGAGTTCAGTTGTTAGCCTATTTCAATGCAATGCATTATTTTTTGGTAAAGACATAGTCCATTTTACATTATCACTTCTTTCTTCCCCCAAAATATGAAGTTCTGCTGAGCCACACTGTCCTCAAAACATACACTGTGACTAAAAAGCAACAGAAATTCAAATCAATTCATCTATTGCACTTTGTGAAGAAAAAATATATATTTATATATTTATATATTATCCCCTGTTTGCCTTTGCTGGCTCCAGAAGGTAAAAGTAGCTCATTTGGCTGCAAGTTCCTCTTTCCCCATACAGGGTTATGTTCAGAATCAGACAGACCAACACCTAACTTCCTTTCTTCTAAGTTATCTGTAACAATTGGAAGATTCTGAGAGCATAAAATCATTCCAGTAACTGTTGAAAAGTCTCTGAACCTAGAAATTAACTTCAGGTGCTTTCCAATCATGGTCAACAAATAAAATGTTACTTATTTCCACATTTCATGAATATGTCCACAAAAAGAGCAAAATGAGGTCTCTCTTTGACTGACACTAACACTGTGTGATCAGGTATTACATGGATGCACTTTATAAGTGACAATAATATACAGACAGAATGGAAGAAAAACACCAACATTATTGCACATGGTGTTTGGGCGAGCGTTAAAACACTGCAATATGGGGTGAAGATTCTGTACATCTTGCTTTCTCTCAGCACTTGCACTAGAATTTTGATGTAGCAGCAGTATCAATCGACGTACATTGGAGAGCTGGGAGTTGCTGGCATTTGATCCAGAATTTTACAGACATAGCACGCAACATCCACTGTTCGTTCTTCATACATTAGGATGAAGGGATGTTTCTGGAAGAATGGAAAGGGAAAAAAACATATTCTCACTTGTCAAACACATGATCACACGCCTGTAGAAGATATACGAGCTCTTAAGAATGCTTTCACATAACTCTTATAATACTATGAAGTGCTGTGCTTGGACAATGGCTCATAAGATCCAGTGGCAAGAGGCCAAACATCAGCACACACACACACATGCAGCCTTGGTTAATTACAGCTGGGTGCAGAAGCTATTACACCACCTGGTAGGGTCCTGTCTACCCTTCTCTGGAGCATCTGGGAGCTGTAGATAGTGATGTAAATGTATATGTCAAATTTAGTTGTAAGAAGTCTCCATCTCCCCTGCAAGCAGAACAGGAGGAATTTATCCATACTGCAGCTGCAATTCCTGTTTACTGAGTTTAATCTGAGAAGTGAGGACAACTATCTACTAACAGGAACATTTCAAGTCCATTAAATGGGAATCAAGAGCTGTGAAAATGTTTTACTCACACTACATATATGGCTATTCCATTATGAACAGCAAATTGTAAACCATTCTAATTCTAGAGAGAAAATACACTAATATGTATAAGCTTAGGATCTATTTCTCTGCAACTGCCCAGAATCTAACATTCTGTATCAAAGTTCTTGCAAACCCAGCATTCAACTTTAAAAGGTTTCAAACTCTCAAGTTGCCAGCAAAGTTTCAGAAGCATCTCCAAATGCATATACCTGGTAGAATCTAGGTGGGATACTATACAGTTCTCATACATAAACTTCATGGAATTCTTTATTATTAAGAGTTATACCCCCCCCCCCACTTTTTAAAGAACTCAAAGCTGCTTACATTATTCTCTTCCTCCTGCTCTCAATCTTATCCCCACAAAAACTTGTGAGGTAGGTTGGGCTGAGAGTCTGTGACTGGCCCAAAGCCACCCAGTTGGCTCCATGGAAGAGCAGGGACTAGAACCCAGATCACCTGAGTCCAAGTCTTGTGCACTTAACCACTACACCACAGTGGTTATTTAAAGAATTAGAGAATTGGAGTGAAGCAAAAAATATCTCACAATCTAAATAAACAACATCAAATGCATTCCTTAATTATCTAGGTGCAGAACTTTACACTTTGGGAATGCATCCCTGAATGAGTACAGCATTCCTCGAAATATCAGATCCAGCCTGATTGTTTGCACTCTACAGACAGAATGCAGCTAATGCATGACAGCAAGCCTAATTATATATCATGTTAAGCTCAGAGCAATGAGAAAGAAACAGGTTGCTTAAAACTCTTAGCCAAATCTAGCCCCATGTATTCCTCTATTCCTCCATACTCACCAGAAGCTCCTTATACTTTGGCCTTTTGGACTCGTCCTTTGTAAGGCTAAAAAGATTAATAGAAAGGTTAGGGAGCAAAAAAAAATCTGCTGAAAAACATCTAAAGTAAAGTGGAAAGAACAGGTTCAAGATATGATTAAAGTCTGGTAAGCATTACGCATTTGTATATCCACCAGTGTGTACAAGATCAGTAACCTATTTATGGCCTCTCTGCATGGAATGGATGAGGGCCAATAAACTGAAACTCAACCCAGACAAGACGGAGGTCCTGTTGGTTGGCGGATCGGGCTTCGGAGAGGGTGGATTTGACCTGGTCCTGAATGGTGCAACACTCCCTCTTCGGGATAAGGTCCGCAGCTTAGGAGTACTCCTCGACCCGGAGCTTTCTTTGGAAGCTCAGGTGACAGCGGTGGCGAGGATCGCCTTCCTTCAGCTTCGGCTGATTAATCAGCTGCGCCCCTACCTGGAGTTTGACTGCCTGGTGACGGTGACACACGCGCTGGTGACTTCCCGCCTAGACTTCTGTAACGCGCTTTACGTGGGGCTTCCCCTGAAGACGGTCCGAACACTTCAATTGGTGCAAAATAGAGCTGCCAGGTTGCTGACGGGGACGGGGCGTTATGCTCACATGACTCCAGTCCTCCGTCAGCTTCACTGGCTGCCCATCGAAGCCCGGGCCCAATTCAAGGTGTTGATTATGACCTATAAAGCCCTAAACGGCTTGGGTCCTGGCTACCTGAACGAGCGCTTACATCCGTATATGCCCGACCGCCCTTTGAGATCTGCGGGAGGGTCCCTTCTCCGGGAACCCTCCATGAAAGAAATTAGGAGAGTAAGTACTCGGAGGAGGGCTTTCTCTGCGGTGGCGCCCAACCTATGGAATTCACTCCCCAAAGAGGTCCGCCTGGCACCGTCGTTACTGGTTTTTCGGCGCCAGGTAAAGACCTTTTTATTTAAACATCATTTTAATTGTTAAAATATATGATCTGGCCAGGGCAACTTCTTCTTCCTCCTCTTTTCTCCTCCTATATTATTTATTTACTTATTTTATACTGATAATTTTAATTTTATATTATTATGTTTGTAACTCAATGTATTTTTTGTATTTTTGTATTTAATGGTAATTTATTATGTTCTATTGTATTTCAATGTATTTTATTGTGTTGTAAGCCGCCCTGAGGCTTCGACAAGGGGCAGCATAGAAATGTAATAATAATAATAATAATAATAATAATAATAATAATAATAATAATAATAATATGTTAAGCTTGGTGGGAAACCTAGGATTTCAAATTCTTCATTTGAAAATGCAAAGAGGAGCAATAGGACTTCTATTGAGAAGTTGTAGACTGGTTTTTCACTGCACTACTGCCTTGTTTTATTTTTAATTAACCACATTTCTATGTGACCAATAGCTGGTGCTTTCTGGGCTATACAGAACTTCTGGGCACAGAATGGTCCGAACCTTTCAATATATTCTACAGCAATCATAAGAAAACATTTTGTCTCTGCACACTTAAATCCTTACCCTTCATAAACAAAAGAAAGTTCTTGAAAAAACATCTGGTACACTAGCTTATCCTAAGAGAATAATTATAGAGCATTAATTTGGAACAACAGGGAAATTTCTGTTGATCTACAAAGGTCCAGTCGACTAGACCTTCAGCCTTCTATGAAAGGAAATATGTTACTCACTCAAAGCCTCCCTTGATCCATCATCCCCATCAATACCTTTAAGAAATCAACTTAAAGGCCTAAGGGCAGCATCCTATTGAGCTGCCCAGAACACTCAGAACTTATACTCATTCAATTGGGTGTGGGTGGATTGTCTCCGCATTCCCCCCATCCTACAAAGGATAGAGATGTCTGGTTTTGGCTGTCTATGTCTTCTGCTCCTGTTCACAAGGAAAAGCAGCTGAGGTACCAACAGATTTCTTCGTAGAACGGCAGTGCCCCACTTCACCACCACCTGATCCCAAGAAGCCCCCCGCCAGCAAGGTCTTCTACCTTTCGAGGCACAGCATGCATGGGCAGAACTGTGCTGGCTGCAAGAATGGAAGGAGCAGCCTGCAAAGATGGAGTCCCCACTGTGGCCTTGGAGGGCTTCTGCAAAGTCATGGTGGGGATTGTGGCGATAAGGTTGCACTCAAGCTGCATGTTTGAAAACAATGGTATGTTTTAAAAGGCACAAAAACAAAGGTCAGCTACCAGCAGGTGGCACCAAATCTAAACTGTGGCTGCATTTGGGTGATCAAATTTTGCCTTAATAAGCCAAAACATCCCTCACCTTCCCTTCATGCAAAAAGAAAAACAATCTAGGAAGCTACGGGGTGAGCAAACAATCTAAATTGGTAAACTATGGCTAACAGTTTCCAACCAAGCCACAATACAAAGCTATCGCTGAATGCTGCCTTCCATACTGTTGCTTCTTTGGAAGCCATTAAGCATAGCTCTCATTTCAGATGTAATGGTCAACTGACATTTACCCACTTGCACAAACAGAAGGAAATGGCTGCATGACTCTGCAATAAGCTTTTTCTTTATTTAACAGACATACTATTATTTTAAAAATGCATTAGAACCCACCTCTGTTTTGTCTGGTCTGCATGTAACAACAGTCCAGTATATGGATTCACAAAAGCTTTTCACTGAATTCAGTGCTGCAGAATTCTGGGTTGTCATTATATGTAAACACTACACTATGGTTAGCTATGGGCTGTTAATCATGAATAAGGCAGGAAAAGAACCTATAGTTTGTTGTTGGGTTGTGAACTCTGGGCTGTTCACTGTTAACAGGGTCCACCACTATTTAAGAACGCATACTCAAATGAAACCTGGGTTGTTGTTACATGCAAACCAAGTCTATATTGTGCTTAAAAATCATTTGGGAAGACAGGCTGAGGGAGTTCTCAAACAAGGCTTTAAAATGGCTCTCGCTTTAACCAGCTGGTAAAACCTACACCAAAACACTCACTCTCCATAAAAATTATTCCCTTCAGATGTCCCTTTTATACCATCAGTTGTTTCAGCCTGAAGCATTTGTACATGCCCTAGCTTCAGTATGATTCCAAATTAGCACTGATGTAGAGCAGTATTCTACATGCTGGTAGGTTATCCAAATGAAGTTTCCCGAGTCCCTTGGGACGAGTTAGCTGCAACAAGAGCAACTGATGCAGAGCTACTCCACTGTGACCACAGTTCAATGCTAATACTGCAGCCACCTGCAAATTCTGTGAATGTTGTTCGCAAAAGCAGTCAGCAACACAAATGTAAACTAGCACAGCCGCAGACTTGCATGATTGAGAACTTCCAGCTGTAGGAGTTAAGAGTGCCGAGGACCCTATTTGGTGCAGTTAGCATTCCACTACTCCAACTAAAATACACCAAGGAGGTAATGCCAAAGCAAGCAGGCTCATTCACTGGAGATACAAGGACAAAGATCTCTGGAGTAAATGGAGAACTACAAAACGATTTACTGTAGAAGTCCATCGGACAGAACTTCACTCCTCTACTTTGCTCAGTATGAGAGTTGCAAGTGAAACAAGACCTTGGGGAGGAAGGGTGCAAGCCTCGACTTCCATCACGTATGCAAAAGGAGGGGAAAAGCCTTTCCAGCAGTTGTTCTGGGGTAGCCTTCCCAGAGAGGTTTGCCTGATGCAAGCCCTCTGGTCATTTTAGTGCCCAGTGAAGACTTTGCTGTTTACCCAGACCTGTTGAAAACTCTTGGAACTCTAGTTTCAGTCGCTCAGTATTAACAAGTTAACTGCTTTTAATGTGAGTGTTGTGTCTTTTGATTACATGGTTTAATGTTTTACAGTGTACCTAAATTGGTTTTATTTATTTATTGTAAGCTGCCCAGAGAACTTTATATTATAGGGTGGCATACAGACATCGTACATAACATAGCAACAATTAAAGGAGTTAGCTCTTTCCAGACCTGAAAACCACTCTGTGCACGGTTGTTCTTTCCAGCCCACACATGCTGTCCCATCGCCAGGCTTTTCCCTGGCAGAAACATGCACCATTTACATCAACATGGGCGTCCTGTGATGCTCCTGCTACAAACTCAGCAGCAGAGCAGGGGGCTCTCCCTGGGCAACTTACTTGCTACCAATGCTCAGAACAGATCCAAATGAGGCATACTCACCACAAGTTGACAAAGTTGATAAAACTAGGAGAAAATTCTCGTTCCTCTGAGTTACTCAGCTGTGGTGGATCTCCCTTGACTACTTGTGTTAGTTGATCAAATACACTATTCCATTTGGGATAGGGGAACCGTCCTGTGGCCAGCTCATACTATGTCAAAGAGACAGCAACAAGATGGGAGAGATTAGTGAAGTTTACAGGGAACACAGCTGTCAAACATTATGCCAACTCTGGGAACTTTTTATATGCATGTGTCTAAGCTCACACAACTTAAAAACAAATACAATGGCAGCGAACATCTCAGCAACTCAGAGGACAATTGCTGCTTTGGGACTGAATCCTTCACATCTCAGGTTGTTCTACTTCTGACATTTTAAGGCTTCTTGCGCATTAATTTAAAGGAAGCATGGGATTTCTAAAAAAATAAATACATACACATACATTGAAATGATGATTTCAGTAGAAGACACTGCAGCTCACTTTAAGAACTATAGCTTCCAGTGTGTGTAGGGCTGGTTCCCACTATACAGTAGATTACTAAGGCTTCAGTAAGCTGCTGTACATGCAGCATGCTGTATGAACCTGCCCATCGTGTGTTACCCAAAAGTTGTATAATCCTAATATAAATCAAATAACTCATGATGTCCAGGTTCACACAGCACTGCAACCCCAGATGCCCCAATAAGGGACTGCATATTCAAAATGGTAGCCTTGCATGTTATGGCTCATTGTGGGTTAAACAACCCACACTGAGGCTGCTATTTCATGCAAACTTTGTCACAGAGGGGGTTTTTTTGGTTGCTAAGTCATCTCTGACCTTTCATGTTTCCATGGACAACATTCCTACAGGCTCTCCTACTCCACCATCCCTCGGAGTCCATCCAAGTACACACCGACCACCCCAGTGACCACATCTATCCACCTCAACCTCTGCCATCCCCTTCTCCTTTTGCCTTCAATTGTTCCCAGCATTAGGGTCTTCCCCAGTGAGTCCTTCCTTCTCATTAGGTGACCAAAGTATTTGAGTTTCATCTTCAGTATCTAACTTTCTAAAGAACAGTCAGGGTTGATTTCCTTTAAGATAGTCTGATTTGATTTGATTTGATTTGATTTCTCTGTAGTCCAAGGGACTCTCAGGAATCTTCTCCAGTACAATTCAAAGGTGACAGTTCTTTGGTGCTCAGTTTTCCTTATGGCCCAACTCTCACAGCCATACAACTGGAAAAACCATAGCTTTGACCATATGGACTTTTGTCAGCAGGGTGATGTCCTTGCTTTTTAGTATGCTGTCTAGATTTGCCATAGCTTTCCTCCCAAGGAGCAAGTGTCTTTTAATTTCATGGCTGCAGTCACCATCTGCAGTGATCTTGGAGCCCAAGAAAATAAAATCTGTCACTACTTCCATTTCTTCCCCTTCTATTTGCCAGGAAGTGAGAGGACCAGATGTCATGATCATAGTTTTTTTAATGTTGAGTTTCAAGGCAACTTTTGCACTCTCCTCTTTCAACCTCATAAAGAGGCTAATTAGTTCCTTTTCACTTTTTGCCATTAGAGTGGAATTTCACCACCAGATAAATTGGTAACTGAGTGCCTTTCGGCTTTGACCCTGTCACTTCATTCTTTCTGGCGCTACTAGTACTAGCCCTCCACTCTTACCCAGTAGCATATTGGACACCTTTCAACCTGAGGGGCTCATCTTCCAGTGTCATATCTTTTAGACTTTGGATACTGTCCATGGGGTTTTCATGGCAATGATGCTGGAGTGGGTTGCCATTTTCTTCTCCAGTGGATCACCTTTTCTCAGAGCTCTCTGTTATGACCTGTCCATCTTGGGTGCCCCTGCACAGCATAGCTCATAGCTTCATTGCGCTATGCAAGCCCCCTCACCACGGCAAGGCAGTGATCCGAGAGGATCACATGGGATCATGAAGGTCACAGTGTAGCAAAGACTAATTATGTTGGTATAATGTACAAATGGGAAAGTCTATGTCACAGTAGCTGGACTAGGAATTGCAGGCCTTCAGTGACTTACTTCCTCTGGGGTGATCTAACATTATGCATACTTGCACATTCCCAATTTAGAGAGAAAGGAACAGACATGGCTCCTGTTTTTGACATGTTTTAATCCCACCCCACGAACTTTCAAAGCTGATGAAAGCCAGCAATATATGAGCCATGCACGTAGTACTAGGTTTATTTCCATCTTTCTATGTAGAGACATCCGACTGGGTCCATGTCTGGAGTCAGCACCCGGCATGTTCACACAAATGCAGTGGGCAAGGATTCATCCGTCGCTTAGATGGTGTATGTTGGGAGCAGGATTCAATGGCATTCTGGGAAAATGAAAGGCTGATGGGACACTGAGCTGCGCTGCTGCCTTTGCTGTCTGGTCCTGCTGCCACCCATGTTGCTGGCTCATGATAACTGCATACGCTGGAAAAGCTCACCATGGTGGCTTGGGGTGGGGGCGCATGAAAGGACATCTTTCACATAGCTGCTTCCAATTTGGAGCTGGCCTGATTAGGCCCATGTCAAATACTCCTGGGTTTTGATGCTTCTGTCATATTGCCAGCAGGACTAAGCTTACTTTGTGTCTGTAGGAGAAGAAGAACAAGGCCAGTCTTCTCAGGTTTACCATGCACTGCTGCCTCCTAGTGACAGACCATACTCACTAAGGATCAAGGCAGCCCAAAATTCACTGTAGAGAAAAGCAGGAGCCGGCCTGGCATTCAGAGGAGCTACACAAGCTCTGTCCACAAGAGTAATTCCTATCAAGCTTGTGCATGTCCCAAGTCCTACAGTTGTGCCACAAGTAGCTGCCACATCTTTAGTAAAATAGCATGCAAAGCCCTAAATGTTTTCCACTTACCAATGTAATCCCTAAACTCCAGACATCAGAGCGGACATCGTATCCTTGCCGAGATGCACTGGGGTCTATCCTCTCTGGCTGAAATAAGAAGAGATTTGCCAGATGGAAATTACAGAGAAATTACAACCTGCCATACTGTGGTAGGATTAATCCCACACCACCAGTCCCTTAATCAGAATTCTGAAGCAGGACTCTGTGTATGTTTGGCAATTGGAATTCAGCTGCTTTGTAACCCAGGTTCTGGGCACCATTTGAATTATGATATAAAGACAATATGGATGCACCTGCTTATTTTGCATAAGGACAATCCATCCTTTATCCCTGTTAAGATGCAAGAAGCACCACTAGTAATTTTTTCAAGCCAAAGTACATGTTTTCATAAACATACTATTTAAAACACAGTTATTTTATTTGCAAGTAAAATGCAATCATGGGACTCCAGCCATCTGCCCCTGAAGGCCCCATTTGCTAGCAATAGCTGTCAAACACCAGCTGCGAAGGAGATGATGGCAGGAGACGGGCATGGGATTCTGATCCAGTTCAGGACCAGGTTCTGGACCAGGGCACTGCAGCTGCTTTTTTTTTTTTGGTGGGGGGCAAAGTAAGAGGGGCTAGTAATTTTGCCCTCAGTCCTTGAGCTACATTCTCTGCCCCCACCCTGGCTCCTCAGATTTTGAGGCATCACCTACTGATTTCCAAGTCTACCCTAACAACTTTAAAACGAATAATGTATTCTGTTTTTCAAATGGAAGCAGGCATTCCTGCTATGCCAAATTCTGTGTCCAACATCCCGTTCCATGTTTTCATGGAGTGATGATGGAATGGCAAAATGCAACCTTGGCCTACATGTTGCACTACCTTATCCTGATTCATCATAATCAAGGCAACTTAATGTTACTTCATGCTAAGAGAATCTTCCTTCTCATCATAATTCTCCCATTGCCGATTGTGGTGTGGCTGTATTGTGTGATCAGGGGTCAGGACAGCGAACTCTGTAGGCTAGACACATTATTGAAGTCCATTGTTTAGAATAGCTGCATCCCACCATTTCTGCATTTGAGATCAGTGGACAATTACTTATACTATACTACAAGTATTTAAGAATTAATCCAAACAGTGAAGAGCCACATATTACTTAAAGACTAACAAATATAGGAATGTGTTCTGTTTCTTACTGTCTGTGAGCTTGAATCTCACATCAAGCCCCCTGACGCGTCGAGTTAGCTAATAAAGGGCTCCACAGGCTCAGGAATCAAGGGTAAGCACCTGCCTGATATTATTTCAGTGCCAATATTCTCTTTCACTACTAACTTGTTTAGCACATTTTAGAGTCTGTGAAACTTTACTGATCTGGGCTAATAAAAAAACCCCTATTTCATCAGGACATTTACTGGGTAGCTCTCAGCCTTAATTCATTTGAGAAGAATTTCCATGCTAACTTGTATCTTTGTACAGTAATAACTTCTGCTAAGCCTCGGAGCTCTGAAAAAACTTGAGTTCCCTCTCCCCTACCCCATTCCTTTCTAGGCAAAGCACGAGTGGGAGACAAATGCACTGAATTTGTGAAGCAGGGGTATGTATTAAAAAGAGATTTAATAAAAATATGTGTGTGATCTATTCACAAGGCACAGAGATAGTGAAATAGAAAAGTAGGTTTTTACAACAAAAAGTGATAAACAGGATAAGCAAACCCCAGGGAAAGCTGGCACCTTGCGGTGAGAAGTCCTGAACCTCTCTGCAAGGATGCCAGCTGATCAGAATTTTGAATTTGGAAGGCTATCCAGGATGGTTGGGAATGAAGCTACTGATTATTTAGGATTAATCTGCACAGCAAGGAGAATGACACAAAGGACTCCCATTCCCATTCATACCTCACCCACTGCAGGTAAGTTTTGAAACCTACTTACAGCCATATATGGTCGGCACCCAGCATCTCTGGTTTTGGCAATGGAATCTACAAGTTGTCCACTGATGCCGAAATCACAGAGTTTAATATTTCCATTTCTGTCCAGAAGAATATTGGAAGGTTTAATATCTGAAAGGGAGGTGGACAATCAGATGCTCCTTTAATCAGGTAGACTGCAGACAAAGTACTTCAGTTAACACTGCTAAAAGCTATACAGCACAAGACATGAAATCAGGAGTGAAGACATGTGCATGCTAAGCACTTCTTCCTCAAACAGCACCACCTTCTGAACCACTAGCAAAATTGCTTACAAGTGCCAGCCTAACCCAGCAGTCCAGAAATAACCAAGACTGAGGGTGATGAAAGCTTTTGTGGTCCATCAGAATCACAGAGGTCCCTGTCCAGTTCCTGCAAAGTTTGTCCCCCAAAACTGTCCTTATCCTTTACAAAAACTTTGTATGTAGTCCACAGTACATGTACACATCCCACTGAACAGCTTAAAAGCATACTGGTTATATTACAAATGAGTTGTAGCTGCCTTGTGTATTTTATGTATTTATGTCAGAGAATTTATAACCCAGTATTTCTACAGCTGCAGTACTCAGGGCAACTAGTAACAGTTTAAAGTTAAAAATAAATTATAAGCTCTTAAAAATGCAGTCCCCTTCATGGAACTCTGCCTTGCCGTGGTGGAGGGGCTTGCGTACTGCAATGAAGATACGAGCTATGCCGTGCAGGGGCACCCAAGATGGACAGGTCATAGTGGAGAGCTCTGACCAAATGGATCCACCGGAGAAGGAAACAGCAACCCACTCCAGTATCTTTCCCATGAAAACCCCATGGTCAGTATCCAAGGGCTAAAAGATATGACGCTGGAAGATGATCCCCTCAGGTTGAAAGGTGTCCAATGTGCTACTGGGGAAGAGTGGAGGACAAGTACAAGTAGCGCCAGAAAAGAGTGAAGCAACAGGGTCAAAGCCAAAAGGACACTAAGTTGCAGATGTATCTGGTGGTGAAAGGAATGTTCGATGCTGTAAATTGCATAGGAACTTGGAATGCAAGATCTATCAATCCAGGTAAGCTGGATGTGATAAAACAGGAGAAGACAAGGCTGAACATCTACATCTTGGGAATCAGTGAACTAAAATGGACAGGAATGGGTGAATTTAACTCAGATGACTGTCATATATACTACTGGAGAAATGGAGTAGCCATCATAGTCAATAAAAGAATAGGAAAAGCAGTACTGCAGTACAATCTCCAAAATGACAGAATGATCTCAGTTCGAATCCCAAGGCAAACCACTCATCATCATAGTAGTCCAAGTCTATGCCCCAGCCACTGATGTTGAAGAGGCTGAAGTTGACCAATTCAATGAAAATCTACAACACCTTCGAAAAATAATGTGAAAAAATTATGTCCTTGTCATCATGGGGGATTGGAATGCTAAGGAAGGGAGTCAAAAGATAACTGGAATAACAGACATCTAAGTTTGGCCTTGGAGTACAGAATGAATCAGAGCAAAGGCTACAAGAGTTTTGTCAAAACAACATGCTGGTCATAGCAAACACTTTTTTCTAACAACCCAAGAGGTGACTTTAAACATGGACATCACCAGACGGTCAACACCGAAACCAGCCTGATTATGTGCTTTGCAGCCAAAGATGGAGAAGCTTTTTCCAGTCAGTAAAAACAAGACCAGGAGCTGGCTGTGAGTTCTTGTTGAAAAATTCAGGCTTAAATTGAAGAAAGTAGGGAAAACCACAAGGCCACTCAGATATGACCTAAATCATATTCCTTATGAATATTCAGTGGAGATGACAAATAGATTTAAGGAAGTATTTATTTAAAACATTTCTATGCCGCCCCCATCGCAACAAAGCCTCGGGGCGGCTCACAGCATAATTAAAGCAATTAGATCTGATAGACAGGGTGCCTGAAGAACTATGGACGGAGGTTTGCAACATTGCACAGGAGGTAGCAACTAAAACCATACCAAAGAAAAAGAAATGCAAGAAAGCAAAATGGCTGTCTGAGGAGGCTTTACAAATAGCTGAAGAAAGAGGGGAAGTGAAAGGCAGAGGAGAAAGGGAAAGATACACCCAACTGAATGCAGAATTCCAGACAACCTTGAGCCAGACATCCTGGAGGGTGTAGTCAAATGGGCCTTGGGAAGCCTTGGCAACAACAATGCTAGCGGAGGTGATGGTATTCCAGCTGAGCTACTCCAAATCCTAAAAGGTGATGCAGTTAAAATGCTACACTCAATATGCCAGTGAATTTGGAAAACTCAACAGTGGCCACAGGATTGGAAAAAGCCAGTTTATGTTCCAATCCCAAAGATGGGCAATGCCAAAGAATGTTCAAACTACTGCACCATTGCACTCATTTTACACGATAGCAAGGTTATGCTCAAAATCCTACAAGCTAAGCTTCAACAGTATGTGAACCATGAACTACCAGAAGCACAAGTTGAGTTTCGAAGAGGCAGAGAAACTATAGATCAAATTGCCAACATTCACTGGATTATGGAGAAAGCAAGGGAGTTCCAGAAAAACATCTATTTCTGCTTCATTGACTCTGCTAAAAACTTTGATTGTGTGGACCTCAAAAAATTGTGGCAAGTTCTTGAAGAGATGAGAGTACCAGACCACCTTACCTGTCTCCTGAGAAACCTGTATGTGGGTCAAGAAGCAGCAGTTAGAAATGGACATGGAACAACTGGTTGGTTCAAAATTGGGATTAGAGTACAGGGCTGTATACTGTCACCCTGCTTATTTAACTGATATGCAGAGCACATCATATGAAATGCCAGTCTGGAAGAATCACAAACTGGAATGTTTGCTCCTTGGGAGGAAAGCTATGACAAACCTAGACAGCATACTAAAAAGCAGAGACATTGCCTTGCTGACAAAGGTTTGTATAGTCAAAGCTATGGTTTTCCTAATTGTAATATATGGCTGTGAGAGTTGGATTGTAAGGAAAACTGAGTGCCGAAGAATTGAAGCCTTTGAATTGTGATGCTGGACAAGACTCCCGAGAGTCCCTTGGACTGCAAGGAGATCACATCAGTCAATCCTAAAGAAAATCAACCCTGATTGTTCTTTAGAAGGGCAGATACTGAAGCTGGAGCTTGCATACTTTGGCCACATGAGAGGGAAGGACTCATTGGAAAAGACCCTTATTCTGGAAAAGACTGAAGGCAAAAGGAGAAGGGGACAGCAGAGGAGGAGATGGTTAGGTAGTGTCACTCATGCAATGAACATGAATTGTAGACTCCAGGAAATCGTGGAGGACAGGAGGGCCTGGCGTGCTATAGTCCATGGGGTCATGAAGAGTTGGGCATGACTGTGTGACCGAACAGCAACAAAAATGCAGTGAATGGGATTCTTAGTTCTCTTCTGCAAATAGACAACCCCCTTTATTCTGCAGAAGAGGCTCCAATCTGCTGGAGGAAAAGAAGGGAAAGCAATTTCTACTGATTTTCCCTCCACTCATAAACCCCCAGTGTCATCTCCCTCTTCTCCACACACAATCATTTGTAGAAGATTTTCAGAGCTTGTCCACTGCCAAGAACATCCCTCCAGTGGAACTCCATGGAGAAGACAATCTTGCCGATGGAGTGCTAATTAGGAACCAAGCCAGTAACCAGTAACAGTTAAAAGATAAATTCAACAGATAAAAGCAAGAGGTCAGAACTAAAACTCTACTTCCATCAGACGAAGGTCTGATGGAATAAGTACAGTTAGCTAGTTAGTGGAAGGCAAGAATACCTGATTACTTTAAAAAGAGTTAATTAAATCAACACTGTGATGTCACATGTGATAATGACTTGCAACATGGAAGATGTTTCCAATAGGCTTCTTAGGGTAGCCATATTGTATCAAAAAGTCCAGAGTTGTAACAGAAAGATGAGTTCTTTCTATAGAAAAGACAAATCAGCCAAGCCTACCTCTGTGAATGATTTTCAAGTTTTCTTTTAAGTGGTTTAGTGCTTTCACAGTCTAGAACAAAAACAGAAGGCTTTATGGAAGAAAATCTATGCAACGAAAGTAAAGATATTACACAATTCAGAATCAACAAATGCTAATCAGGGTGACTCCCACAAAACTTAGAGGAGGCAGAAGTGTAAAAGCATTCCTTCATATATGAAATAGCAGTAACATTAAGGAGGGTAGGTTTGCTCATTACATCAAGCAAATGAAGCAATGGTTAGTTGTTCCCTCCCTCAGTCCTCCTGACACCTCCAGCACATATCCCAATGTCCTATGTGGCAGAACCTCTCCTGCCTCCTGAGTATCCCTTTTCATTCAAGTATTTTGCTTGGGGTCTCAAAAGCACTTCCTTGGGCAGCTGCCATCAGCTCCTTCACTACCACATGCTGCCTGCACAAGCCCCAATCAGGTCTTCAGGAGGCACCAGTATCGGCTGCATACCACCCATGCAAGTGGCCGGCATGCAGCAGACTGCTGCTTGCCAAGGCGGGTGCTCAAGCAATGGGTGGATGAGGCGTGTTCTGATGGTTTCTAGCAGAGGTCCAAAAGAATGTGCCTATGCTACTCCCCAAAGCAACTGCTGAGTGGCCACCATGGTGGTCAATGTGGGGAGGGGAGCAGTTACTTTCTGCTGCATCTCCCCCAGAAAAGGCCCAGCAGAATCCAGCTTGGATCTCAGCAGAGTGGGACTGATTGTTTGCCCTTGACATCCCAACCTGCTGTTTCCAGGTCAGGAAAGTTTTGCTCCCTCCAGTCCCCAAGGCCACCCCTTTGGCCTGGGACAGCCACAGCTTCAGGCTCCCTGTGAGTGGCCTGATGCAAGAGCTGCTTCCCTGTTCTTCCTCTCCTGCCCCTGGTGCTGCTCTCAAGTAATGGCAGGAGAGGAGAAAGCTTGATGCCCCCACAGTGTCCCCTGGAATACCTGCAGAAGGAGATGGGGAAGCTGGATTTGGGAAGCACACACAAAATGGCAGTAATAAAAACACAAAACCAACTTACAGCTAAAGTAATTTTGCCTAGAATTTCTTCTGGAATAACATCATCTAATACACTATATACATATTTGTAAAATTTATCAAACGAGGTAGACATGAGCTCCATACAGATCCAACAGTCACCCTAAAAAAGAGATAAGGAAATACAATTTTAATATTTTCAAACTAAAATAAAATTCTGGGGTGCTTAATGGGAAGCACTTTGTTACTTAGGATGGAAAAAGATAGCTGGAATACACTATTAGTGCAAATCCTGTCTTACTAAGGCAGAGAGAACAGAACATTCTTGCATAAATGTAAACAAACACCTTTCTGTAAACAAATTCAAAGCCATTCTGCCTGACAAAACATTCTGCTTCATCTTTTTCCAAATGACACTTGGACTAATTAAAAAATGTGACATATGGGTTATGTTGCATGTATCACTCTCTTATAACTACGAAGAGCATTGTGGCTTCCTGATCCAAAACAGATCTTTCAGACCAGTCTTTTACCATTTAATAGTGACATACTATTGACTTGCCATTCCTTGGACCTTCCAATGTATGCAGCCAGTTTCCTATATCCAGATATCAGAATCTTGCTTCATCCCACTCAAACCATCAAACAAATAACTGCCAAGGTTCCAATTCAACTTGTTTAACTCTCAAATAGTGTGTCATTAACCTTATTTAAACAATCATGTATATAATGGATTTTTTAATTTGTTCATATATGAATTTGATCCAGATTCAGACCCATAGATTTAGGCTAGATGAGCTGTATTTTCTGGCAGGCTTCTCTGCCACCTCTTCTCCACTGCAGTTCATCTAGCCCTATGATGCTATAAATAGGATTAGGGAAACCTGCTGAATGCGGTGGGCTGTGGGAATGATCCCTAAAGTCAAACAAAGGTATTGTGGAGTGGTTAGAAAACTGGACTGCTACTAGTGAGACCCAGATCAAGTCTCCACTTGTCTATGAACTGGCTGAAGTCACTGCACTTCAGCCTACTGTACAGGGTCATTGTGAGGATAATTTGGAGAGGAGGAGGAAGACTGGAGTTGCCACCTTGGCCTTCTTGGGGGAAAGGATGGACATGCATGCATGTGCACTGAGGTTCCTTGGAAGCTTACTAGGCACTTTCGTGAGAAGAATGAGTCAAGTAGGCAAACTTCCCTAGCCTAGTTGCGTAGCCACTACCAAACCTCCCTGGCTATGTGTTACCAGAGAACACGCTTCATTCATACGGAGAGAAGATGAGGCTCAACAACCCCAGCCAATTCTGTTTCCCAAACCTTTCCCTCAGGATCCTCTGCAGTATACAGTGAATTCATGGTTATTGTTCAGGAGTTGCCACATGATGTAGAAAGTCCTTCCTGAAGAGTTAGCAAGGTGTGGTAGTTTGGGCGTTGGACTAGGCCCAGGAAGACAAGGCTTCAACTACTCATTGATCCATGAAACTCACGGAGTAACCATAGGGCAGTTACTATCACTCAGCCTAACCTGCTGCATGGTACTGTTTTAAAAAAATGCGGGGAGGGGACATGTACACCACCCCAAGCTTTAGGAATGTTATGAAATATAAGATGGAAAGTTTAAAAGCCATACCTTCTGATCTTATGTTGTAGAGTATAAGACCATAAAAAACCTCATAGATAAAACACTGAAAACAGACTTTCTTGAATTCAACTCTTAGATCTGATCCAACAATAACATTTCTTTTCCTTCATCTCTTTCAGGTAAATAGGTGAACCTAGCTTAGCCAACATATTGGCAACTGTTTGTCCCTCAAATTAATATATTTCATTTCTCATTTTAAAAACCTGAAATGCATTAACTAAATATTTTACAGATTAAGCAAATCTCTGCCCACCTCTCTGAAGAGTGCTCCATAAAACTGAACAATATATGGGCAGTCACTACTTCGCATAACTACATCCAAATCCATTAAAAGCTGCTTCTGTTCCTTTTCATCCACCGTTGACCGAATTCTCTGAAAGAAGAAGAGGGGGAGATACATTATTATCAGCTATGGAAGTGAAGAGTCATTACTAGACAGGTGGTTACCATATACTATAAAAGGATATTGTTATTAATTTAAAACATTCTCAACTGGGCAAAATTCTAGCTTGCCAAGTTCCTTACTCCAACAGAAAGGAATGTAACTAGTTGCTTTAAACTAAACTAATTGAGCAGAATTTGAGTAGCATTTGATTCCTGAAACAGTGATAACATGGTAAGAAACTACTATTCCTTCAAAAAGTTACTCAGGGTGAAGTAACCCCTTGCTAACAAGTCAGTGAACTGTTACATTTACCACATGCCCTTTCATTATCAATTGCCAGGTGAGGAGGAGAGGGTAGGATTGACCTGCTGTCAGAGAAATGGCTAACTATGCAGCCACTTGCTCCAAATGGCACATCCTTTTCATGCTGGGTGGAAATTAAGCATGCTCAACAAAATGGTGCAAGTCTAAAAGTTTGAGAAGCGCTATTTTAACTAGTTTAGCTAGATGAATCAGAAATATTATTCTGATAAGCATAGAAGAGAGACTGAAATGTTCCATTTATAAATAAAATACTACATTCTGGGGAACATGAGTAATCTACATTGTAAAGTCAGACAAGATTTCTATGTGTACCCTTCCAGATGTTTTGGCATGTAACTCCCAATTATCCTAGCTAGAAAAGCCAGTAGTAAGGGATGGCAGGCACTGTAGGCCACAAAATCTTGAGGACTACAAGTTGTCCACTCCATCCTACAGACTATAATGTGTTTTGTTCAGGACAAGAAGGAAGCCTGAACCACTCACGTCTAGGCTGGCAGCACTTCTTTCTTTGGCAAACAAAAGTTCTTGCAAATATTTTCATAACATATTTTGAAAGAGAAATAAATGCAGATGATTTTAATCATAAAATTTAGAAAAGAAATATCAAATAATGGCGGCAAGTGCACTGATACACCCTTTGAAAAAATGAATTGATCTTATCTAAGCAGAGAGTGATTATAAATTGCTTATGATACAGATTTTTTTGTCATGGTTAGTAGAGTAGGAAACAGTATTACAGTTCAGTGCACTTTTCCCTGTAATTTTAGAGGCACAGAAAATTATTCCATTTCCTGATTTGACACAACAAAACAGCCAACTAAAGTTTATTAAACCCCTGGAAAGTTTGTGGCACGTATGATCTTTATTTGGCATAAACAAGCCCTACTGGGGGATTGCCATGTTGTACAAACCTGGCAAGTGAGGATTAAACAAGGGATATACAACAATTGTATAATTCTAGAACAGATCATGGGTTCTGTGAGGGTTATTTTAACTATTGAATAGTCTGTGTTTGCCAGATCTATACACAAGACAAGTAAGTGGGGGGTTGAATGTGGTAACTAGCAGCTTGGGGTGCTACAGGTAATCATGGTTTAAATAACCCACTGATATTTTAGATTACTCATTGTAAGCCAGAACAGGAGTACTGACAGAATTATCACTCTATTAGAAAGATGCAGTACATGAAAACAAAAGTCAGTGGAGTTCTATATAGTGCCTTTTTATCAATGAAAGCTGTGCAAAGTTAAATGCATGTACAATAGTACAAGATATCTGAGATGCAATTATCTTGTAAGAAAATGTAAAACAATCCCAGCACAACATGCTGTTGTGATGCCACTGAATTCATAGTAGTGCATGGTGTGTGGGTGTAAATGAAATTTAAATTGTGTGGACAGCAACTATAGATGGCAACAGATGGCATCCCTCTTTTTCAGTAGTAAGATCATCTTCCTCACTCCAGAGTATGCTGCAGTCATTACAACCATCATGGAATATTCTTTTATGGTTTAAGTATTTTTGTTATCAATTAAAGACAATCCATTTCCTAACCCTATGAATACACCCTTTCTTTAACAGAGAACACAGTGTGTCTGTCCCCTTGGTCTTGGCAATAGCATTCTTTCAGATCAGGCCCCCCACATAGGTAATTCAGCTAATTAGCAATTCAAAGCTACAACCTGGAATTGCATTCATCTGCACTAATGTGCTGAAATCCTCTGCTATGAAACTTTACTGTTATACCAAATTTCAGAACAGAATGATAACCATTCACAGCAGTGCAGCACTGTATCTCCAATAATTTCTAAACAGAACAAATTGTGCAGGGGTCCTCTAACCTGGCCTTGCAATTATGAGCAGACATGAAGACGGCACAGCAACAGCAGATGGCTCAGAAGAGCAGGAAATAAACAACAGAACCTTTCACCTCCAGGTCACAGCTGGAACCCTTCCGACAAGCCATGTGATGGTACCGAAAACATGACAGATGTTGCCAAGGGTCAGGCTGCATACTACATTAAAGACATTCTTAACTAACCTGCTTAGAAGTGGCTGTGACTCTTTCTTTAGAAAAGAAAGACCCTCCAGTCCATACTGGGGCCGTGGAGCAGCTGGGTCATGTTACTTTTCTACCCTGCACTGTTTACTTGTCAACTTTTACAGCAAATACCAGCTTTGTGGGATAATGTTGTAGGGGGAATAGTATGGGAGCAAAGAATAAGCCCTTCCTCATGGTTCAGATCCAAAGGGATGTATGTTTCTTCAGAAAGAGATGTTTACAATTTCAAACAGATCAATTAGTTATGCATTTAACACTAACATGCAGTTTGACTCCAAGCATTCACATAGAACACCCACTGATTGCTATAGCAACAGTAATTTTGCTGTTGTTATAAAAGTCTGTATGTTGACATTTGGGACAGAAACACCCTGACTTCTTCCCATCAAAAAACTATACTTTCAAGCCACCTGGGAATGTTACAACAGGAGGGATAGGTAGAGTTCACTTTGTTCTTTGTTCTAGAGACAGGATGCAAGTCTTCTGGGAAAACTATTCCAAAGCCATAAAATCCTTGCACATTCAAGGCCAGAAGTGACAAAGTGTCAATTTGTTTGGGAAGCTATGTGGGGGAATAATCCAAATAAGGAGCTGCCTGCTACCTAGATGATGAAGTGATGACTCCAAAATGCATCTAGAAATGAAATGCCTTCCATAAATTTTTCCTTCTCCCAGTGTTCTTTAGCATTCTAGCATTACCTAGTTCATACATGCACCAAGGTGCTCTAACCTTCATCACTCTGTATTTAACCATTCTTAGATTTTGAAGTTGCCCTAGACTTTGTGTGCCAGACGTTCTCTGAGTTGCATACTCCCAGGCAATACCACGATCCCATGCATAAAAGACCTTCATAGTGCTCTGTTCGGGTTTAGAACCTTGGCAAAACTGCAGTTTATCTCAGCAGTTTTCTGACTTAGCTCCCATCTATTCCTGAAGCCTCTTCCTGATATTCTGGAACCTTATTTTCCATTTCATCTATCTGTTTAAGTTCTATACCACTCAACAGCTGAAACTCTCTGGGCAGTTCACAAAGCACATTAAAAAGAACCATTGTATTTGAAATGTCATAAAAGTTTACAAAATTTTAAACCACATATTAAACAGGCATGTGTGCACGCGCGCGTGTGTGTAAAACTTAAAGAAGAAGAAAAAAGAAGAAAATAGACCCATGTGACAGCTAGCAGGCCCCAGAAGCTTCCTAAATGCTCTGCAGTAGAGGACAGTCTTTACCTGGCACCAAAAAGATAGCAAGGTTGCACCTCACTCACTGGGGAGCTTGTTCCATGACTGGGAGGCCACCACTGAAAAAGTGCTCAGCTGAGCCTCCCTCAGAGGTTGCATCAGAGACAGGCCCAGCACTTTGTTGTAGCGTCCAGACAGAAGAGCTCAGCAGAGGGGTTCCATCAGGTATTGTGGCCCCAAGCCACGTAAGGCTTTATGGATTAAAACCAGCACCTTGAACAGGGCTCAGAAAGATACAGGCAGCCAGTGCAAGCAGGTCAGAATTGGTGTTATTCAGTTCCTATTATCAGTCTGGCTGCCACATTCTGCACAAGCTGCAGCTTTCAAACTGTCTTTAAGGGCAACCCCACATAGAGTGCACTGCACTACTCTAATTTAGAGATTATTAGAGCATAGATCACTGATAGGCTATCTCTGTCCAGAAAGGGGCATAGGTAACCCACCAGCCAAACCTGGCAGGAGGACTTCTGGGCCACTGAAGTCACCTGGGCCTCAAGTGACAAAGCCGGCTCAAGGAGCGCCCGCAAGCTATAAACCTGCTCCTTCAAGAGGAGTGCAATCTCATCTAGAACAGGTTGGATTCCCATCATCTGGTCAGAAGAAGCACCCACTGATAGCATCTCAGTCTTGTTTGGATTGTTTGTTAGCCCCCATCCAGTTCATTGTCACTGCCAGGCATCAGTTCAGCACATACACAGGCATACCTGCTCTAGAAGAAAAGGAGAAATAGAGCTGTGTGCCATTAACATATTGAAGACAACACACTCCAAAACTCCAGATGACCTCACTCAGTAGTTTTATGTAAGCATTAAACAGCATGGGGAAAAAGACTGACCCCTGGGAAATGCAAAATGCAGAATTCAAGGGGCAGAGTTATATTCCCAAAGTACCATCTTCTGAAGCCTACCAACAAAATAGGGGCAGAATCACTGCAATGTAGTGTCTCACTCCCAGCTCTGACAGTAGTCCAGGAAGCACACCATGGCTGAGAATATCAAAAGCCACTGAGAGATCCAGGGCAAGCAGCAGGATCACACTCCCCGTCTCTCTCCCAGCATAGGTCATCATCATGCAGGGTGACCAAAGCTGTTGCTGTACCAAAACCAGGCCTGAACCCCAGCTGAAATGGATCCAAACAATCAGTCCCATCCAAGAGTGCCTGGAGCTGGTTGGCCACCATCCACTCAGAACCTTGCCCAGGAACAGGATATTTACCACCAGCCTAAAAATCATTGAGTTCTTCCAGGTTTAGGCAGAGTTTTTTCAGGAGTGATGTCACCCCTGCTTGTTTCAGGTGACCTGGGACAACTCCTTGTACAGAGGCATTAATCACCTTTTTGCCCAACTGGCAGTTCCCTCCCTACTGGCTTTTATTAGCCAGAAGGAGTAAGGATCCAGTACGCACATGGCTGCACAGAGGCCCAAGCACCTTGTCAATATCCTCCAGCTGTACTTATCAGACCAGACTGTGCTGTGGATTCAACTGCTGTACCACCAGAGTCTAAAACCTGCTGAATACAGGAAGTCCCTAGGAAATATATTATAGTGGGCCTCAGACAGCTCCAAGATGTTCTTGGGACCAGCATGTAATAAGCCCTGGACAATCCTAGAGAGCTCAACTGTGCTGCAAATGGAAGACCGAATGGAAGCAGTCAGATACTGCTTCTTTGTTGCTCTCACTGCCTCCAAAATATTCCATATAGATTGGCATATAAGATGACCCTCGAAACCAGAAATAGCAAGGCAAAAATCTGAGGGCAGGTCATCTTATATGCCAGGTGAAAAATGTTCATCACATCACATGTTTAAGAAAAGATAGATAACAAAGACAATTATATTTACAAGCTAGCTTTTAAAAATAATCATGGGGGGAAAACCCTTCTTACTGGCACTGGGGGAGCTTGTCCTGAATTGCACTGTGCCATAAGCCTTGCTGGCTGTGGTGGCTGGGAAGAAGAGTGTTCCCCATATGGCTGTCTTCCTAGAGATGCAGTGCAGCCCAAGTGAGCCTCCTCCCTCTTGCCTGCCCCCTTCCCGCTCTCATTTGTGGAGCTGCTGTTGGCCATCCTTCCCCATCAGTCCCAGCCAGCCAGCCCTTTGTGGGCTAGCATCAGCCTCCAAAATGTAGAGCATATAGGTATTTTAAATAAAACCAAAACTACCATTCCAGTATCTCACTACATCCAGTGTCTCCGCAGAAATACAAGAGGGTAAGCACAAAGCAAGACTGAATATTGGATAGAAAACATGGTATCTGCTTAGGCATTAGGTGGAAAAGGACAGAAAGAGATCATCCATGCAGATAGGGAACAAATGAAGAGAAGGAACTATGAAAGACTTACGAAATGGAATCCAGAAATCCTGAGCAGTTCACAACAACTTTGGACATGCAATTCTATCACCCTTACAGTAGATGCTTACATGCCTCCAAACTCCAAGGGTTACAAGGATCCAGTGCAAGATACAGGAGCAGCAAACTTCACTGCCCCCATGCCTTACATCTTGCAATTTAACAAATATGGCCATGTTCAATCATCTAGGTTTACCAACAGATGGGAAAAAGGGAAGGAGGCTTGGGCACCAATTACAATTGACATACCCCACCTCCCCCCCACCCCACCCCAAGGCCCATTCACAACTCAAGGGGGTGGTCAGCCAGTGCGGTTCAATCTATGCTGGCTTTGATGGAAGGGGTGAGGGCTTGACCTTCAGGGTTCAAGTACTGATCTCAGTGGTTCAACTCCAAAATAATCCTACAGTTTCCTAAAATGATGTAAGAAGGTAAAGGATTGTGCCCCAGGACATCTAAATAGACATTTTAACTACCTTTACACATCTGGCCTTGCAGGAAATAATTTGATGGGCGATTGATACATACAATGAGGAACCTTAGGCTCAAGTGAACTAAAGTGAATAAGTAACAGATGCACATCTCAAGCAACTTGAAAAGCCTCAATTCTTCCATCTATTAGGACATGACAATTCTGCCACTAACAGGGCATTACTGTTCAATAAAGTTTCATCTAAATTGCCTCTTCATCTCAGAATTCCCCTATGCTGGTCCTTTCTGGCAAAGTTCTCTGAAGTACATCAACTGAAATACAAAATTAGCATAAGACATAATGTGCTTACTCAGACAGGCTTGCCAATAAATAAATAAATAGTTCAGTTATGCCTCTGCCCATAGCGTTTTTAATTTCTCTGTAACCCTCATGTAACCCTTCTTGGCATAGCTGACATATGCCAATCTCAAAAACAAGCTACAAAAAATCCCAATCAGTAGCACTCTTGTAGTATACAAAAGCCATTTTTACACACTGCTGCTTCATGCTGCTTTTGTGATCTTGTAGCCTTTGCATTTATTATAATTTTGTTTGTGTTTTTACTGTTTTATACATTCTTGTAAACTGCTCTGGAAATATGATTGAAAGACAATATAAAATGCCTGAAACATATATACATATAAATTTAACTGTATACTTCCGATCCTTGAAATGCAAACTTGAAATGTTAAGTGTGATTACAACAATTGTGTATCATACAAAGAGCCACTTTACAAGACAGCTGTACTCCAGCATTTGCTTTAGTGAACAGGGAAAGCATAAAATGCAGACCTGAATCCTTTAAGAACATTCTAAGGAACAAGACTATTCTAAGGAACCTTTGTGAAACTGGCCTCTGTACCGGCACCTGTACTCTTTGTTTAATTGTTCTTAACATTTGAGGCACACTGTCTGTGTTTACTGTGGCAAACTCCACTGGAGCCCAGCTGTCTATCTGGTAATAAAAGCTTGATTTGTTGTTATGTGAAAACCAGATATTGGTCCTCAACATTGTGGTCATGCACTATAATCGTGGATGCACAGGGAAAAAAAGGATGAGAACATTTTACCCTACCAATTTTGGGAGAGCAAGGAATAAGTGAGAACTGATTTTTGTCTAGCCATTGCCCAGTGATGTAGTTCAGAGAACTCAGCACTGCTACCAGAGAAGTCAAGTGAAGAACAGTTAAGAGTCTTAAACACATCAGTGAAACCCAATTCTACTCCTATCCTGCCAGAAGACCAAAGCACATTGTGCAAAAAAAAGTATTTTGTTCTCTAAGCTGTTTGCTTAACAGAATAATCCTAGATCAAGCAGAGTATATTCCAGATAATATACATGCTGGCACGTAGCAAGAGACTCGCCTCTGCCTTGGCATTAACTTATTTTAGAACCCATTGTTGCAGACAATATTTCTACAAGAAAATGAAGAAAAACAGCTTATTCTTGTTTGTCAGTGAAGGTGATACAGCATCAAGTAATTCTTACTAATTCTTATTAAAAGCAAAAAAAGTATTTTTCCTACAGACAACTCTCAAAGAATTGCTAACCAACTCAGCCAAATTATGATAATATTGTACAATATTGTTAAAAACAAATGTTATGTCTGAATTTAAGAGTTTAATGTTTATGTCTGAACAAGTACAAAATTGATGAAAGATGCCAAACAGAAACTTTTACAACTCAGATAATCTCCAGTAACACACTGAAAGAACACAGGTGTAATAGCACAAAGAATTATGGTTAACAGAATCTATTCCACCTCCACACCACATACTTTGTGGCTACAAAAAGGAATGCAAACTGCTGCAGCATGGCTTAAGTTGCAGAAAGCAATTCTCTTGTTCCACAAAGGCCCCTGAACTGTCTGCTGCAGAATGGCACTTCCTACCAGTATGAGCTAGCTTTAAACCAGTGACCTAGAGGTGAAAGGTCTCAGATCCCATAGAAAAGCAGACTTTCAATCTCTTCATGTCATTTGAAAGGAATGCTCATTTCAAAAAAGAAGCATACTTTTAAAAGGTATTATCTTTGAAGTTTACATATCACACAAGATAAGCCATTAATAACACAGTACTGTCAGCCAATATAGACCATATAGTGGGGAGGGGTGGGAGGAAGAAAAGAACAATTATTGTGTACTAGATGGATGAACTTTAAATTCTCCATCATGTTTTGCCCCAGCTGTTGGAAGTACAAACATAATTATGGGCATCACCTACTTTAACGGCCATAATTTGCCCACTTGGTTTGTGGACCATTTTGTTGACAGAACCATAAGCGCCTCGTCCAATTTCTCCAAGGTCTTTCAAGTCCTCTGCAGTAAAATCCCAATGCTGTTCAGGGGAAATCTTCAATTTTCCTGATGATTCAATGCTGTGTGTTCTCAGTCTCTCTCTGTCAAAAAATTTGGGAAGGAATTTTTCCACATTTTAAATAGTTTGAAACTTTTTTCAGCAGCACTGAATAAAAGCATTTATTTAGAGGAGTGCACATAAGGCTAATGCAAAAAAATATAAACTCCAGAAAGGAGCTAAATAGGGGGCACAGAGTGGGAGGCTGAGATGAGATTCACTTGGGGTGACTAGACTTTAATAGCTACTACAAAAGACTTGGTCAATGTCTTACATTACAGCAATTTTCTTTTCATTTCTTTGGTTGTTTATAAAATCCTGTATAAAACTATTTTAGAGTTCTGGCAGGATACTATGAAATGCACAAGGCTAGCACAACTTATGCTGGAAAATGTGGACATCTTGAGTAATTATAGGTTGATAGCTAACCACTGTCCTTTTATTATCTCCACTGTTAACACCGTAAAGAAAATTCACACCTGTGATTATTGGGTTTTTGAGGAGAATTCATCAACTTTAATGGAAAACTGCAAACTTAAAAAACATAATACCTTCATTTAAGTCCAAAAATACATGCATTTTGTCATTGCCTCTTTGAAAAAATAATTTTTTTATTTTAAACGCTACAAAGCGTTTTTTTTTTTTTTTTAACCACTTGGGGAAGGCAGATAACAGACTTACACAGTTGTGTTAAGTTTCTTTTTCCCAGTAAGGGGCTTTAACTTGAAGAAACACATCCATTTTTCTTCTTCTTTTATTTCCCAAGAATCAGTCTCAAGACAAATGTTAAAATCTGTAGCATTTCTTGACCATATTTTCCTACTGTTATTCCACGTCATCAGACTAGAAAGTTAATTTTATTTCATAAAAGCCAAAGTGTGGAACTCAGTATTTAGTTCCAACAAAACAGGTTTTAGATTAGACTGGTAAACTCTAAGTCCCAAGCTCTCAATTTGAAAGTGCTTCAGAGTTTACATTTCTGAAATACTCCCACCCATTCACAAACAACACAGAACTAAGAGCCTGTCAAATTTCATCATTGTGGGTGAGAGGGAGAACTGGTCTGGGGCATTTGGTGCCTAGACACTTGCTCTGTTCAAACACAATGCCAGGCCTCAGGATCATGTACTCTTTCATCTACTTGCACAAATGACAAACCAGTTTGCTATTACATCTAAATAAAACTACGGTTTTCAAAAGCTATTGCTTTACTTGCAAACCAGTCCTGGAAACCACTGCCTATTATAGTGTCCAACTATGGATTGCAATGAAAGTTAACGCACTTAAAGATATCAGAAGAAGACGGGACATTTATATAATGCTGAACTATGAACACCCTGTAAATGCTTAAGTACCTCTCTCCCTTTCTCTGGATTTTCCCCTTCTCAGTATTCCATACCTAATACAGATTCAAACTCTTTAGGATAGATATAGAGATAGCACAATGCAACAAAAGGAAAGAAGCAATATTTTTCAGCATCTCCTTCAGCATTTCAGTGCTTGCCTGTTTAACTAAATAAACACCTATATTTTCAAAACAAATGACCTTTCTACAAAATCTTAGTAAAAAAGAAAAGAAATAGGGAAGTAATCAAAACATTGAGGGAAAATGAGATGAAAGAATAAAATTCTATCAATCCTTGCTATTTACAACTGCTAATTTTTCTTGGAAATAGCATCACACTATCACTAGGAATTCAATACAGTTTAATTTGAGATCATCAGCAATATGAAGATATTTTAGAAGGTATCTCGGGTGAGAAAGAAAAAGACCTCTCAGTTACCGGAGTCACAGCTCCACAGGCAGGAACACTGATGCCCTACAAATTGCCCTCAGCAGCTAAATACAGATCTTGGTCATAAAAAGACGCATTTCCTGAGTTGATAATCCTACAATACTGAAGAATCAAAGAATTTTGATGACAGAAATACTGATGTCATCACAACATGGAATAGTGGCCAGTCATTTAATGCACGGTTAATTTGCAGGTATGTTGCAACAAATTAAAGGTAAAGGTTTCCCCTTGACATTAAGTCCAGTCATGCCTGACTCTAGGGGGCGGTGCTCATCTCCGTTTCCTAGCAAAGGGAGCCAGTGTTTGTCCGCAGACAGTCTCCGTGGTCATGTGGCCAGCATGACTAAACACCGAGGTGCACGGAACCCTGTTACCTGCCCACCGAAGTGGCACCTTTTTATCTACTTGCATTTGCATACTTTTGAACAGCAAGGCTGGCAGGAGCTGGGATGGAGCAACGGGAGCTCACCCCGTTCTGCAGATTCGAACCAGCGACCTTTTCATCAACCAGCCCAGCGATTTAAACCACTGTGCCACCTGCAGTCCCTGCAACAAATTAGCTTACCACTAACATTTTACCACTAAATATTATACAATATTTCCAAAATTTTTCAGGATTCACACATCACCAAGTTTGACTGGAATTACCATATTTTTATCTTTGTGATTCTTCTCATTCATCTATTCATATACCCAGGCAAAATGATAGTTTGGCTCGATTTAACAAATCCTACTTGATTACTACATATACAAAACTACTTCCTTTGTACAGAACATTATATGAATGAAGGAATCAAAAAGGTATTCAAAGTGCGTGTGAATCAGGATTTTATCCACCAATCAAGGTTTATGTCACAGTGCCATTGCACATTAACACAAATCCCTCTTTAGGGTCTGGCACTTAGTAACAGAGAATCTAATGTGCACTATCTTTTTGCTGTGATTGCTGCAGCAATGTAGGGCTCCTTGGGTGAATAAGTCCTTTTGACAGAAGTAATGTATGAACTGCTCAAATGGTTCGATAAATTACATTCTGCTAGCCCATGAAAGCAACAGCCAGCCAACTAAACAGCCAATCATCTTTGCCTACAAATCAAACCTAAGTACACTTAAGAGTAAGACTCACTAACTTACTAGAAAGTATTTCTAAATAAATATGGTTTGGATAACATTACAAATTAATATACATTGATGACATTAAAAATAAATCAGAATGATTTTTGACTATTAGGAGCAGGAAGGGAGTACAACCAAGCATGAGCTATAGTCCATGTCTGGGCTTACTCCATGGCAGTGATGAGAAAGAAATCTTATTTTTTCACCACTAATTTGTAATCCAGAGCACCTGTTCCAAGTAATGTGAAGAATGAGACATACTGGCCTAGGAAAAGAGGTAATCTGTGTTTTGTTTTTGGTTTTTTGTGACCACTATGCAGATAACCAGTTGCCTTCACTCTAACTTCACTCTACTATATTTAGTGCTAATTCAATGAATGTTCCTTTGGTAGCTGATTGTCCTGTTACTATGGATACTTTTCAAATCTGGACAGCCTGAGATTGTGGATAGGACTGATCCTGACTGGATAACATTACAAATTAATATACATTGATGACATTAAAAATAAATCAGAATGATTTTTGACTATTAGGAGCAGGAAGGGAGTACAACCAAGCATGAGCTATAGTCCATGTCTGGGCTTACTCCATGGCAGTGATGAGAAAGAAATCTTATTTTTTCACCACTAATTTGTAATCCAGAGCACCTGTTCCAAGTAATGTGAAGAATGAGACATACTGGCCTAGGAAAAGAGGTAATCTGTGTTTTGTTTTTGGTTTTTTGTGACCACTATGCAGATAACCAGTTGCCTTCACTCTAACTTCACTCTACTATATTTAGTGCTAATTCAATGAATGTTCCTTTGGTAGCTGATTGTCCTGTTACTATGGATACTTTTCAAATCTGGACAGCCTGAGATTGTGGATAGGACTGATCCTGACTTTAACCCTTATGGTTCCTAGTTGTGAGTAGCCAGTAGAGGATTGGTCAACGGAAGAAAAATTATTAAGTTCCATTAAGGCAACAGCTGAAGAGTGAGAGAGGCAGAGGAAAACTTAAACCTGCTCCAGTTGGACTGTCCCTTCCCCGCCCCTGGGTCATTTACCACCAACACTGTAGGAAGGAGCAGGAAAGCAAAGGGGGCAAACAAGATGGAAAACAAAGCCAGCTCCAGCTAGGCTGTTCCCTCTCCACCCATTGAGCAATTTTCCACCAAATGTCACATGGAAAAGAAGAGGAGAGCAAGCAGGAATGTGGGAAGAGAACAAAGGGCCTAGTCCAGCTCAACAGTTCCTCCCCTTGCTCCCAAAGTCAATTGACACCAACCTGCAACAATCTGATTGTTATGTTTTTTAAATATCATTGTATTTTGATTTTACATGTTACCCCCATGCTTGTAATCTTAAATGTAAAGTATACACATTTTTCTAAATAAATGAATGAAAGGAGATCAAGAGGCTCTGTTTGAATCCCAGCATATTGTACAATATTTGACGAGTCAGTCCATTTTCAGGCAAGGTTCTTCACTTTACTAAGATGCACAGTTGCTCTTGCCAAATTGTAGATGGAAGGTAGCATTTGTGTGTCTAAGAAAATGCTGCATGGGCCATTTACCCTGAGAATGGCAGCATCAAAATAGATTGGAAAGTATCTTACAATACTGAAAACTAGTTAACAATAGTTAACACAGTTAGTTAACAGTTAGATAAACTAGAACTAGTTAACACAATTTTCTGGTTTACATTGGCTTGACTTTTTGTTTCATTTCTTTATATTGGCCATGGCACTTGTTTTTTTCTGTTTCAGGCCCTTTTTATCAGAAGGAAGAAACCTTGGGTGTCCTGACTGATGATCTACATGGGGAGCTAGATATGAGAAAAACAAAGCTGTTGGACCTCCTAGTGGCTTTTGATATCATACTGGTATTCTTCTACACTGCCTGATTGGGATGGGACTTGGTAGCTACTGTTGGTAATGACTCTGATCTTTCCTAGAAAGACAGCTTCATAAGATGATGCTAGGGAACTGCTGGTCAACAAGGCAGACACTGTCCCTTGTTCTTCTTACCAGCTTTAAGAATCCACTAGTAGAGATCTGAAATATGGTGCCATCAGAATGCTGACAGGTCCTGACTCCCTCTCTCATATTTATTTTAATCCAGAGAGGCTGTCAAAAGGCTGAGACTGGTAATGAAACTTAATCAAGACAGGATTAGTTGTCTAACTGCTGAGCTGCCTGTCCCTACTCACTAGTTGTACCCATTCCTAGAGAAAGCAGGTCTAAGCACAGTATAACAATGAGCAATGGGTCTGTCTTTAAAAATTGTGCAGAAACTTCAGCCAGTTCCATGTGACAGCGGAAGTTTGGTCTGGAACTGGTTCAAGCACACTGGCTTCCTGTCCATTTTTCAGCTCAGGTCAGGGTGCTAGTTACTACTTTTAAATAAATAAACATTGTAAGAATTGGATACTTTTTTTTGGTTCCAGGATCACTCAAAGGAAGTCTCTTAACTGGCAAGTAAGAATAACCAAGGAAGCTACTCTGTATATCCTGAGACACATGGGAGGGTACTTCCTCTATGATCACAACTGAACTGTAGAATTCCTTCTCAAGGTTGGTCTGCATTGCTTTTCCTTGTTGATTTCTTCATCTTATGAAGGGTTGTGGTTTTTTAGCAAGTGTTTGGCCTGCCTATTATTTTAAATTTCTGACTCATGGAATTGGAACTGATGTGGAATTGGTATGTTTAATCTTACCATTTGCTGGAGCAAAACATCCTTCCAATGGAATTATGCCTTGCCCCATCAGCACTGGCTAAGCATACCTTGAAGACTTCTCTCTTCACAGATGACTTGACTAGGTTCATAAATAGCTTGCATGCTTTAGAGCAACTTTCTAATATTACCAGCATACCTATTATTTCTGGCATTCTTTCCTTCTTTGTTTTGTGTTTCTGTATGGGTAGTGCATCTTATAAACATCTTCAACATCTTCAAATTAATAAAGTAGAATGTGGACAAATTACAGGGACATACAATTTTGGTACTGGATGACTTGCAGAGCCAGTACCATGCTAGTTACCAAGATAGGCCTAAAGCATATAGGACATCAAGCAATTATTTCATCCAGCCTTCCCAAACATGGTGTGTTCCAAATATTTTAAACTATAGCTCCCAACATGTCTGTCTATCAGTGCACTGGCTAGAGCTGATGAGATTTGAAGACAAAAACATCCAGAGGGGACAAGTGTAGGAAAGGATAATTTAAACATAACTTGAAGTGGAGTACAACAGATTGGCAGCCCCAAAGGTAAAAGCCCAACCATTTCTAAGGATGAAAACCTTAATATGCTGTGTTTGGGACACCAAGGAAAACAGGGGTCCTGTGTAAATACATCTGCAACTGATCGGCACCAGAAACCTTGTGTTAGGGCACGATCATAGTTCTGATCACTACTATTTCACACAGACTAACAGTACTGGATTGGGAGAAAGAGCTACTGTCATGTCAACACCACAACAATAGCTCTATATCCACTCATCAGAAGTACCTTTTGTTAATGCTTCTTGTTTTCCTCTTACTGTCACCAATTGAGGCATTATGTAGAAATGGTCCTAATGAGTAAGATGCAGGGGTGAGCAGAGTTCAGGGTTGTGGAATCCACTTTGTTCTTTACTAGAACCTGATGCAAAAGACGCACACTGAGAATTAAAGAACTATGAACTCAGAAATTTGTTTGTTTAACATAACTAAATGGAACTCATAAAACTTCCACACAAAAATTCATTCTAAGTTATCCCAAGCTTTCAGCAGTATAATTTAGGGTAAGAGGGAAGTCACAAGTCTGTTCAGAAGATTAAAGAGGGGGAAATAAAAAACAGTGGCTCGTTTATTCCAGCATGCATGCCTTCTGCATGCCACGGGGGAATTTGCATAATTACCATGTGTAGCTTTCCTATGTTGTGCAAACCTGGTGAAAATGGCTCCTTGCAGGGCTTTGGGGTAGCTTAACCACAGCAACTAGCCATCTTTGCCGGTCTGAGCACCATGGAAAGCTGTGCTTGTGGGGATATTATGCACATCCCCCCAGAACATGAGCAGCATCCATGGTGGGGGAAATAAGCCACTGTGATCATCTGAACAGTTCTAGAGTGTTTCTACTATTACTAAAGAAAGGGAAATAAAAAATCTTTTGTCAATCTACTGCAAGGCACTCTTGAAGATCCACATCTACCTTCTGCCTGCCCCTTATCTAGAAGGTCTCTGAGTAGCAGTAAAACTTTAAAACAATGCCAGATGGGAAACAAAGCCCACACTCCAAAGCATCTGGCCTCCTATGCACAATGCAGTCGAACAATGCAGTGGATTTCAGAGCAGTGCAATAGCACAGTATGAAGATAATACAGGGCTATGTTATTTTTAAGCATTGGGCAAGTGAACTGGATGTGGAAAACAATTGTAAATACAGGAATTCTCCAATTTCACAGGCAGTAAAAGAAGCAAGTTTGAATTCTTTCCAAGTTTATAGAAAAGCTGCATATACACTGTGATTACTGCAGTACACTTTGCAACAAACAATGGAACATTTAGTCAAATCCAAAACAAAAGAACATTCTTAAGGCCTTCATGCTAAGGGGGCGGGGATGAGTCAAGAGTGCCAAGGAGTTTGAAACTTAGCAGTTCTTATAATGGTTGCAACTGCTTATATTACTAAAACATTTGCCACATTTTATAGTAGGACAGAAAAAAAGGACAGGGGGAGGGGTGGAATTACCAGCAACTGAAAAGCCACAGAAAATATTTTACAGTGATAATGTTTCTTTCCCAGTCACCAAAGTAATAAGTAGGATTCTTGCTCCAGCATGATTAAAATCCTGCACTCCTAAATCCTATTTATCTACTACTAGGCCTCCTTTGCATTCTTACCCTTATTTATCGTTATTTCAATACTGGTATAACAGCTACAGCAGCAGATACACTGGTAAATAACATACATAATGCTACAGCTACCTCACACTGACGCAGAAAAACTGAGGGACAAAAAAATCTGCTTCAAACTATTTGAATGAGCACTATACACTACAACCACTTTTCAAAGCAAACATTAAGAAACAAATGAAATATAAGCCATTGGCTTGGGATGATCCCACTCCAGCATCAAGTATACTACTAACCCCATTCCTGGATTTCAACACAGTGGCATGAATGTTTGCAGGGGGAAAAACCTGAAAGGGAGTAGCTATGCCTATGAATAAATGTGAAGATTTTCATGGACAGATTGGAGAGAACTGAGCCTGACGCTGGGTACTGAGTTCAGCAGTGTGCTGCTGCTTCTCGGCCATCAAGTGGAACTTGTTTTACAGGGTTAACCAGTGTAGGAAGTTTTTGTGTCACATGGAGTAATGGAATAAATCTATGGAATGGTACAGAATCTTAATAATTTTGTGGGACGAAGTTGTCATTTTACAATGAATTTTATCCTCAGGCTTATGTATATTCTAAAGTATGTACAAACTCTTGCCATGCAAAAATATTTAAATCATAAGTTTTACTATTGGAACATGGTATGGGGAATAAAGTCAAATCTAAAATAAGACATTAAAAAACAACAGCTGAGGCTGGGTTCAATTTATCTAAGTTATGGGTTAAATTGTTTCCTGGTTAGCAAGTATGAGGTACTGGACAGATACTGGATCTCTACTCTCCTGGGTTGATAAACAAGGAACTAGCATAATTACTTGCATTCTTGGGATCAGAAGTATTAGGTTCAAATCTGGGTAAGTACAATATTGAATGTCTCATTAATCTAGGTGCATCAGAATGCACTGGATACCTCAGAATCCATGCAAAAATGTGATCTTTTCAGAACAGTATTATTGCTCTCAAGACCAAGAGTAATATTATGGAAATGTGTTTGAGAAGTTCTCAAACCCAATCTGTATTATTTAAATTAAGTGGATACAGTAAAACAACAAACACTTACACAATCACAATGCATGACAACCCTTAAATTGATTGCCTCAGTATCTAAAATTTATGACAGGCTTATTCATTGGAAACTGTTTCTATTTCAGCAGTACATAGACTGTCAGGTGCTTAATGCATGGTGATTGATATATACCTGATTCAAAATTTCTGGATGTGCCCTATCACTCAATAATTTTGGGCGGATATTTATAGAATTTGTGCTGCCTCATTCTTAACATTAGGGTTAACCTCTAGGGTACAACTCTAAAACAAGACTTGTTCAAGAAGAACAGAAGTCCTACAACTACCAGCATACCAAGGCAAACATAGTTGCTGGAGTTTATTTTGTCTAAACATGTACAGGATTATGCCCTTAAGTCAACTTTTTTTGGATTACCTCCTAGTAATTTGATCAGTTCCAAACTCTTCTGTGCTCTTGGTTGCTAGAGGCTCACTAGCAAATATAAAACAAATCATGAAATTTTGGAAGTTACAATTTTCACTAACAATAGAATACTACATTGAATATGATTTAGAAACTACAGGTGAAAGTGGCATCCCACAAGAGGGCTGATTCACAGAAATTTAACTCAGTACACCAATGATTTCTAGGCATGTTTCTGGCTTTTGGAAGGTTTTCACACATACACAGGAATCCATCCCCTTTCCCCTCCTACCTTGAAATAATTTTACAGCTGAAACAAATATAAAATTAAAATATTCATTTGTTTTGGGGGTTGTTAGTCTAGGTATATGTGTGTGCGTGTGTGCACGAGGGGTGTCTGTGCTAATTGTACAGCAATCATTTTTGTCTAACTTTATCAAATGTAATTATCATGTTTAGTCATTGTTAAATGAGATGTTTAGTCGTTTTTCTGTCTAACCTTGCATAGGATTGTGCCTTTAAAAAAGAATGCACAGGTCTATACAGACCCAAAAAAATGATTAAATCTCCTAGCATGCCCCAGTCAACTTCTATCTAAACATGCACAGGACTTAAACTTAAATGACTTATGCAGTGATTGGGTATCTTACTACCAAGTATTACATGTGGCTGGCCAAGGCCCTTATTATAACACTGAGATGCCAGGGACACACACACACACAATTTTCTTTTCTACTCCTATGTGCACCACAACAGTTACCTGTATGCACCCTATTTTTCATGCAAGTCCTACCTTGTGACTTGCATGACATCATGTCATCTACCATGGTTACTGCTTAACCCTGAAAGTGAACAGGATTCCCAAAATGAAGGAGTTTTGAGATTCAAAAAAAGCAGTTTACAATCTGCCTTAACCTTATCTTCTGAGGAAAACCATTCTTGACCTAAATTGTTTGTTTTAAAAAGAAGCGAGATCTTTCTAAGCTAACACCAACCCATCTTAGGAAGGTTGGTATTAGTATTTCAGAAATATTCTGTTGTTGTTGTTTTTTTCTACAGCCAATGATAGTCAGTAAGGACAAAACACTGGAAAGTACAGATATAAATAAAGCAGTGAATTTCATGTTATAAAATAACGAACTATATTAAGAAAGTATTTAATAAATTTACAAACATATTAAATCTCTCATATTATCACAAATTTCTGCAAGGTACTAGAATGGTGTTGATGACTTTTTTCTGGTTATTACAAAAATACTTGAAAATGGGGCTAACAGACAGTTACGCTTACTGTAGCCTGCTGGAAAGTTTCACGATCATCTCCGCTTCTCTCCTTTTGAAAGTGAACGGGGCAATGTGATTACTACCCATTGTTGCTTGAGTATCACTTCAGCCAGGAAAAGAGTTGCAAAAATGACAGGAAAACACAGTGCTGTTATCACATAACACAATAACACATACACACATAGTCATCAAGAAGACAGACTACTTTTTGGATAATAGACAATATGAGCATACTTTAGTTCCTTGCTGAGGTCTAGCTGACAACCCTGCTTGTTGGAAACTAAAAAGAAAGTAAGTGGAAAAGTAAATTTAAAAGCTTTGTCAATGCATTGAATTAAAGCAGTGGAAGTCTACAATCTGAAGCAACCTTAATTGGACATAAACCCCAATGAAATCAGTGGGATTCCTTTCCAAGCAAACCCATATAGAAGATGCATCTAAACCTGGATTTCAGGTGCTGTTTTTCACTTAATGTATGAACTACCTACAGTTAAATTACTAGCTAAACCAAACTGAGTCAATTGCCTTTCGTGGCACAATTTGTTACATTAATTACCACCATGCTGCTTCATTATGTGGTTTTGATAAAGGAAAATTTCTTACCTGAAAACTAGTGCTTGTGTCTTGGATCCACCAATCAGAAATGATAGCTATTACCCAATTTCCTACGGTGGAGTAAACTGAATTCTTCCCTGAGCAACTGGAAGATCTAGAGCTAGCTTTCATTGTCCACTCAGCAATTACTTGAAGAACAATTAAAGAGTTTCTGGATCCGAACCTTTCACAAATATTTCCAGGTAAGAAATCTCCTAACTCTATTCCTAACAAAAAATACCCTTTTAATGCAGAGGGTATGACAAACCAGGGAAAAGGATTAGATATGTTTACACTAAAATAAGCAAAATATCCAGATAAAATGAAAAGGGGGCATGTTAGTTTCACTTTTTTGTTAACCAGGCACAGAGAGATATCTACTATTATGCTTCTCTGCTATGTTTCTTAGAAGTTTTCTTTTCCCCTGCCCCTTACCCTGCAAAAGAAAATCCAGTCAAAGGCTGCAAAGTCAGAATAGGAGAAGTCAATTCTGATCTGTCACTCATACAGAGATCTCTAACATGATGCAGAAAATGGGAAGCAATAATACTTTCTGGCAAATTCAAGAAGAAGGATAGATAACAGTCCTGAGGGCATCTTGCTCAAAGATAAACCTAAGACCACTACAGTAAGATAGACGGATAGACATAATACCCTATACAACTAGCAGAGTTGTACAGTTCCTAAAGTAGCATGCATTCAAAAGCATTACGATTGAAATTCCAATGACTGATATTCTAAGGATGATTATATAAGATACTGGAGATAATCTTATCAGTTATCAAATAGTGAATTCATTCTGGCAATCCATATTCTCCTATACTGTGAAATATAACAACTGCAATGCCTAACATACAGAAAGGCTGCAGCTCAATATAGTAATTTCACAATTCTTGTCAAGAATTTTAATGCAATTGCTTCTTTTCCTGCAGTTACAGATTGGTAATATATTGCATGAACACTGTGGAATGGAAGATTTTACTTAATTTCTCAATCCTGATCCTCAGCCAAGAGAACTATGGGAAGGTATTCAATTCCATCCTTGATACATGTGCAAAATTAGTTTCAAACTTCTCCCAAAGGAACAATCTTCTGGAGAGAGGTCTAGAATATTTTGATAATGTTCTACACAAGCACAGAATTCACAAGTGGGATAACACAGAAATTCTAAGGAGTACTTCTTCATCTATTCCACATAAGCAGAATCAAAAACAACCAGTGCTTCCCAAGGTTAATGCTACTTTCTACTAGATATGGCTTAGTTACTGCAATCTCCTTTGCTTAGATTCTCAACATGCAAAACCCATTCAGATCTAAGGCAATGTCAACTATCTAAAAATTCCTCTAACATCCTCAATTCCTCTAGTTTTTACTCATTTCCATCACATTTTGAATCTTACTCCTCTGAGGACTTTGAAATCTAAATTAACTTGGCCAATAGACTAAAATAACACCTATGTAATGGATTTATTGAACTGGAATATTCTAAACAATTATGTAGCTGAAGATAAACTGAGAAACTTTATACAAGAAGAAACACTGCTCATTGGGATCAATGCAATTCCAAGTTTTCTGGTGACAACTTCCCCTTTCCTTCATTTTTGTCAATTTGTGCTTAGCAAGAAAACGGAAAGGTAAAAGACTTAAGAGGAACTGGCAGTGTTCAATAATAATTCTTTCTGATCAAACATAAATGCAACAAGATGCTAGTCAGCTTGAAAGTGTATGTTTGTATGTTTTAAGTGATACTTGCTTTGAACAAATGTCATCAAACCTGTGATCTAATAGATGCCATAACTCAGAAAACCACTTAACTACAGTAGCTATACCTCAGTAAACAAGGCGCAGCCAGTGTGGGAAACCCCTATACCTGGTCCCTTATTTTCATGAACATCATGTACATATTTCCCTGGCTCTCTAGCAACCATTGTGCAAGATACCTGTGGTATAGTAGGACACAAGCATGCCTACTGCTGTGTTGAGATGAGACTAAGTTGTGCCCGTGTGCTGGAGCCTTAAGCCCAATCTTTTGCAAATTGGCAGGAAAGCACTAGAGTAAGAATTATAGTTGTTGAGTACTATTTCCAAGTTCAATATGAATCACTGTAACATGCTGCAGTACCTCTACACAGGTGCACCAGAGGAGGGAGAGTTGGCTTTATGTCACAAACACACAACAGTTGTACCAGTGTAGGTATCAGGGTCTCCAGATGATATATATTGCTATTTATTTCATTTAAAACTATGCAAAAATCAGATAATGGAAACTGTATATTAATCTACACATTTGAAAGCTTTCAGAAACCTTCAAAAAGGCTGACTGTAATTCTGTATCTAAAGAAGTGAAGCCAGAGGAATAATAGAAGAGATGGAAGTATACAAAACACCATCCTGTCCAAACAAAGAATTTAGGTGAACCCTGATATTTTGAAAGTTGTATCTGTGTTAAGATTCCACTGTGAAACTACCAATGCTAAGGTACTATCATACTGATTACAGGCTACATCTCTCACTCCAAACTGTGCAGCTAAAAGAAAGATATACTTGAGTTTCTACATAGCTACTAATGCAGGAGAGCTAACTCAAGCTCATGATAATGCTTAGGTAAGAGAATCATGATCATATTATAAAAATGTTAAAGCAGAGTAACTAGTAAATATGAATTTGTGCAGTTGGAATTCTAGAACCAATAAAAACATACTGGTCCTAAGGTATAGCATTTTAAGTCCAGAGTCAGCAACACATGAAATAACTTTTATAACACAAAGAAATAATTCTCCTACTGCTAACCAAGGTAGCGGAAGAAAAAGCAAGTGGATACAGCAGGGCATGAATATTCTTTATCTTGGAGTTGGTCAAACTAACACAGAGTTTTATATAAAACATTACGCCTGATTTACACAAAATTGCTGCACAAATTCAGCAGTCTCACACTGAACTAAGTGGCAGACCACAAACTCAAGAGAAAACAATATAGGATGATGGTAAAACCTGTTCTTCCATATATATGTGTGGTGCATGTACTTATCCCCTTTCAAAGCTAACTATACTTTATAGAAATTTCCTTCTTCAGTTGCTTTTCTCCAATAAGCCAAATTCAGAAAATAACACAAATTTCACTTTCTATTCTAAAACAGAGGAACTCCTTTCCTTATCTTTCATGTAATAAATCTGAAAAATCCATCACTGCACCCTGCAACCTGTCAACCTAAAGAGTAGTTCATTTTTGTGGGGAACACACTTATCAATATTTACTTTTCTTTAGATTGTTTTCAAGGACATAGAGATCAAGCAAATCGTCCAATATTTCAAATGTTTAGGAGAAAAACTGTATAACAAGGCCTCCAAAACAGCAAATGCAAAACCCAAAAGCTTAACTTGTAAAAGAAACTTTCTCCTCTAAACTTTCAGTTTTGCTCAACTAGATGAATGGAATGACAAACACAATCACAACATCTATTTGTTTAGCTGCCTTTAAGCTGCACTTGAATTTAGAATCAATAATAGTAATCATCTGTGCAAAGAGAATCTGAAAATCAGTAAGAATTGGACTCTAACAATGAGTTGCCTCCGGCATAGTACAAAAGAACTTCCATAGCAGGTAGCAAAATAACCTAAATATCCAACTCTATCCAAGTGTTATGAAAGTGATAAAACAATGTTAATACGTCCTAGTAAAACTTTTATATACCACATAAGACCTCTTTATAGATATGAAAAACACAAAATCCACTATACACAAATATTAACGAAGAGCAAAGCAAATGAAGCAAATGAAGGCTTCAGTGCAATTTTGTGCATGTCTATGCAGAAGTAAATCCACTGTGTTCAGTGGGGCTTATTCCCAGGTAAGTGGATATAGGACTGTAGCCTAAATTTTTCAAAGGAAGTAATTCAGAAAAGGGTGGGGAAATGGTTATTTCCCATTTCAGAATAATTACCCAATGCAACTTGCATCATACAAGCTGAAATCCTCTCATGGACTACCTGAATGGGATACTGATTCTGTATCTTGTATCCTTGAGTTTTTCACATCAAATATATGATGCATTTAACTTCTGTACTAGATAGTGCATGACCTAGAACAATCCCAAATCCTCAATACAAAATCTCTCCCACGCGCTGTTCTTTACCAAAATTGCCTTAAGTGAAAAGGGGCATTGCCAGCAGGTTGATGAGCCTGAAATTGAAAGATTTATGATTTGATGTATGAAACCGTCAAACAAGAGCTGCTACCATCTACAGAAATTTCAAGTCACTAGATGAAAAAATAATACTAATCAAGAAAGCCACTAGAAGTAAGTGATGTGTCAATTTACTAAGAATTATTCTCATGAAGGAGAAATTCACCAAAGAGTAAAAACCAAAGGAAGAAAACTGTGAAAAGCTACTGTAGAGCAAAAGAAGGAGTGCAGCTAATATGAAAAGACTGAGTCTAGACAGTTCAATTACTCTAATACAGGGGGTAAGTCTTTTGCCTTCAAAAATTGCATGGCATTTTTTGAAGGGTGGGACTATGCTACATGCCAGAGCTCAGCAGATGAAACCTTGCTCTTTCTTTTTTGGATGCAAAACTTACACGTTTTGTAAGAATGTCTATTTGAAATGTCTGGATTTTATCTCTTTCAGAACTGACTGTATAAGAAGTAGGAATGCTTTCCAATATCTTTCAATCATTACTTGAATCCATGCTGAATCAAAACAAGGAAGTACTTCTAAAAGAAGGGGCAAAACTAATATATTCATAGGAAATAGATAGCTCTGAGACATGAATAAAGTAGTGGCATATACAGCAAAACAAAAGCTTCCTATGCTGTACAACACAGGGAAACATTGCCTAGAGGAAATACAAACACCTGAGAGAACAATAGGTACAAGCTCTAAAGATCTTCACTAGCTGAATGTCTGATATTGGTACAAGGGGACATTAATTGCTGCTGATTTTACTACACTTACAGCCTGAGAGGCCACTCATCAATCCAGATTGGTGGATCTGAGAACACAAAACTTACATTTTGATAGTCATACTAAGTGTACAACTACTCTATAATCCATATAACCCTGGATTTGTATAGAAGGCTGTCCATAACACAGAAGGCTGCCTGGGAAATGTTTCAAGTTCTAAGAATTCTCTACATCATGTATTTTGTCAGTTTGTTTAAAAAATCATTTCAATTTTAGAACTAAAATGCCTTAAATATATCTTTTACAAGTATATGAGGGAGCAAGAACTTAGCCATCCTGACAGTAGCAAGCATTGATCAACTTCATCAGTGAATAAGATTAGCCATAAGGGGGGCGTGACTTACCAGCAAATGGCAGTTTTTCATGCACAGTTCAAAGCAGAAGTCTCAATTTAACACTGTAGACAGAATAGCTTATTGTTCTTCTAAATTCCAAATATAAAGTTATGTAAACAGAACATCCTACATCTCAATCTGGACTACAGGATATGTGTGTGTTTTTTTAACTGTCTGCAACACGTATGAGACAAAAGGAAATGCTTTATATTTATACTTCAGAATGGTTCCATCTGGTGGAACTTCTGGTGTTATACTCACATGTGTGGATTCTGAAAAGGAACTCCAGGGTTCAGAGTAAATCGTGCTGTGGATTTGAAAGGTGGATTTGCAAAATTCAACTTCAGTGCTCTGCGCTTACCTGAGAGATAAACAAACACAAAATCTTGTTGGCAAGACAACACAGATTACTGAATTAAGAGCATCAGAAATAAGCCAGAACCAGACAATAAACTTTTCCCCACAAAATATAAGAACTTTTCACAACAGTAATGAATATTTCATATTTTGCCATCAGCCACAGTATCAACAGAAGAACTACTAAGAAGGGCTTTTGAGCTTACTACCAAATTGAGCTACTGAGCAAGTTTATATCTAATAAACATTTTCTTTGCATGAGAATTGTTTTCAACTATTATACTATACACTATATTATACTATAGTACTACACTATACTGTAGTATAGTATATATAGTAATTATATTATATACAAGTTCATGAATGGGAGTTGACAACAAAACATAACTTATTATTACGACATCATCATTAAAGAAAGGCCCATATTATTACTCCAAATATATTGGATCTGAGATAAAGAATGAGTACAGGGGTCAATTAAAAAGGGGCAGGATCACAGCCTAGACTTTAATTACCAGTATATGATGTAATTAGTTCATGAAACTTGGGCAAGCTATTGGTCAAATGAGTGGTTTATTTTATTACTGTCTACTGAAGGATGCAAGATACATCCCCTGTACCTGCACACGTAATTGAGAACTGTGCATTTAAGAATGCATACATCTGTTAAATTAAAAGAGTATGTTAGCATGCACACATCTACATAGCTCTAGATCTGTACATGCAAGAGGATGAGCACATATTTACACATGTATGTAAGTTCTGAGAGTAAACATACATGTGCAATTTTATAATAGCCAATGGCCAATTTAAAATGGGAAATGTGGAATTCTAGACTAAAACAATAACTTTCCTCTGATGTATAACTTCCACAGCATAATAAAACATGTGAATTGCACCTAGTAGTGTGTATGTGCTTGCAACACATATAGAAATATATAGGTGGCTTAGCTCTATCTTTACTTCACAGCACAGGACAGTTAAGCCATGGTCAGTTAAAATATTCCCAACAAAACCTAAGTCTGTCAAACAATTTACTACCACAGTCTGTGATGAAGTAGGCCAATGCCCCAAATGTTTACTGGTTGCCTCAGTGGTTTTTCATGCTGTCCCCCCCCACCCACACACAAACCATCTTCATGTTAGGGAACTAGGATATCCTTGTTTTAGAATTACAGGGGTTACAACAAGCACAGTAAACTTCAATGGAAAATAAATACTTGGTGCAAAAATGGAAAAAAAATCCTCTAATATGACAAAAATAACAATGTTAAAATTTGGTCTATTTTAACACCAGGTGGAAAGAATTGCCTAACTATCTCAATATTAGACTCAAATGTTGTGTTAGTACATTGATTCTAATTAAAACAACTCTAGCTTCTCTTCTGAGTGGGGATGAATAAATCCCAGTATTTTAAACCAGCACATTTATATTATAACATTAACTGGATATTTGGCACACTAATACTAAATACACTTTAACTTTGGAATTGGTGTATTTATTTCCAAGCAAGCGAGCTTAGGACTGTAGATAATGCCTCTCTACTAGACTGATTGTGGTTTTTTTATATTTATGTCTAATAATGTAGCCTAAAGAGTATGCCTAATAAGACAGCCTAGTTACGAATACTAGAGAAGCCTGATTAGGTCTAATATGGATGGCACTGACACACAGTAGCCTGTATGGTCATATTACAGTATTTAATTTCTATTCCCCTGGCACCCAAAAAAGCTGAAGTACTTTGGGCATGACACAGCAACACATACAAATACAGTATAAAATACAAACAACATTAAAATAATATTTAAAAGGCTACCATTCAAAATTTAAAACCACATTTTAAACACACATAAAACATCTAAATAAAGTAAATCTTATGACCTGTTTAGGCAGCTAACAAAGCTCCAGTAAGCTTATTAAATGCCCTGCAGTAGAGAAGTCTTAAGCTAGTGCCAAAAAGTCAGTAAGGTTGGCACCCAGCAGGCCTCAGTGGTGTAGAGCATGAAAGGGAGGGACCAAGAGGAAGTTTCCAATTTGAATTCAACTCATTACATGAGCAGAGGCTTCTCTTTTCAGGTTTGGTAGAAGGCTATTTACATCTCATTATCTGTGGTCTCCATAAAAGAACAGTACCTCACTGGTTTGCGTTTTAGAACCAGAAGGAAAAAGGGACCAGCTCGAAACAGCTTGAATCCAAAGTGAAAAATTCCCCCAGTCTCTTTCCTTTCAGGAACGCTCTGAGCTCCACCCTGGGGGTGGCTCTTGCTGCTGTACAACAGCACAAATGATGAAGTTGTATCAAGGACTGGGTCTTCTATATGCCCCTCTCCCCTGCTGAAAACCCTTTCTCACCTTCCAAAACAGTCCGATTTTTATGCTTTGGTCTGAAAAACGTCACTAGAAAGTTGGAGCTTCAAAGGTTTTGCCCCCACACCCTTGTTCTTCCTCCTCCTCCTCCTGTTTAACATCTGAAGATGATCCCCCCTGAACAGTTTGCAGTGTGAGAGGGACTGGCCCTTTCTTCACAAGTGGGGAACTCACAACTGGGGGAACAACCACTAAAAAGGCCTTTCGTCTTGTTGGTACCAATGGAGGCTCCCTCAGAGGTGGCATTCAGAGGCAGGCCCCAGATCTTGGCAATACTTGGGAGAGGCATTCTGTCAAATACTGCAGCCCCAAGCCATGTATCATACAAGTTAAAATCAACTCCTTGAATTGGGTTTGGAAGCATACAGGCAGCCAATGCAAGCAGGCCAGAATTGACAGGTACTAAATGTTTTAATAAATAAATAATAAATATCTGGTCTCTGTTATTAATCTGGCTGCCAAATTTACACAAGCTGTCGCTTCCAAACAGCCTTCAAGGTAAGTCCTATGTAGAATGTATTGCAGTAATCTAATTTAGAGATTACCAGGACATAGATTACTGATAGGGGCATAGCTGAGCCACCAGAGGAAGCTTGTAGCCACCAAAGCCACCAAGGCCTCAAATGACACAGATGGCTCAAGCAGCAGCCAGAAACTATGAAATTGCTCCTTCAAGACAGTCCAACCCCATCTAGAACAGGTTGAATCCTCTCCATCCAATCTGAAAAACCACCCATTACCAGGACCTCAGCCTTGTCAGGATTATTTCAGTTTATCAAATTCTATCAGATTATCAGTATTATTTCAGTACTGTAAAGTTAATGCTACCTGACACTGCTTTCCATTCTGGAAGTAAATCAAGGAAGATTATTGATATCCTATCATTAATCAACTTGTCATGTCAGAGGTGTATTTGCTCGACTTAGGCTGCAATTCTACACTTACTTAGAATTAAACTCTACAAATCTTAATGGAATTTATTTCTGAGTAAACATGTACATCAGCCTTTCCCAAACTGTTGCCCTTTGGATGTTTTAGACTAAAAGTCATTGTGATAGGGTTGATGGGAGTTGATGTCTAGAACAGCTAAAAAGCCTTTATATATAACATTGCAATGTGTAGCCTTATGCTTCTAGTCTCTCCATCACAAATCAAATTTAGTAGGAAAACGGCCAAATAACCAAAGAGTGGTCCAAATTAACCATTGTGGCATGAATTGCCATTTAAAAAACAAAAACAATAGGGTTTTGGGGGTTTTTTTACTGTCCATGCTACTGCCTGTTCAATTATACGCATATGACATGTAACACTTAATACAACTTTTTCATTTCCAGACTTGAGGAATATGGTAAAGTAAAATTCAAGGCGGCTTGCCACACAGCCACATTCACCTCACATTGCACTGCCACATCTCACAGGAAGGTGGAAAGAAACTGCAGAAGTTAATCTTTCCTACCACTTATACATGGGAAAACAGAGGTTGGCTTTAGCCCATTGCCAAATCAGGGAACTCTCCAAGACCCAAAGGCTCCGAATTTACAAACCCAAGTCTATTAGTATATAAAAATAAAACTAGGTAAGCAGAGCTCACAAACAATGTTTGCTAGTTGTTACTGGCATTAAACTGTTATGTAACTCCAGCATAAGTTATTTTTCAATGAAAGAAAGATAATGGGTATATTCTAATATCTTCAGAACCAGAAGCTTCACAAATACATATCGGATCTGAACTACAGTCATTAAGAAAAAAAGTTCTAAAAGTTCTAAAAAGTGATCTAATAGAAACATAGAAACAGAGAGTCAGAAGGGGTCTCCCAGGTCATCTAGTCTGACCCCTGGCTCCAGCCAGCTCCGCTCATGACATGCCTAGAATATATAATATTCTAGGTATGAAAGCCTGATGCAGAAAACACTACTCTCCTGAATTCTACAAACCCTGTATTTTACTACTTATTTTGTGTCCTAATCAAGTATTTTCCAGTGTGTGCCCTCCAGATGTTTTGAAATAGAATTCTCAGAATTCCTGACCACTCGCAATGTTGATTAGAGCTGATGAAAGTTGAAGTACAAAGCATCTGAAGAGGACCAGGTTAAGGAAAGCTACCCTAGCCTGTCTACAGATTTATGTAGTACTTATGAAACATTGGGGTCAGTCCCTGGATCATGGGCATATATCATGTGTCAAGGTTATGAAACAGCAGACGCTCTGAATAAATGAGATTGGAGCACAGAAACCATTAAGTGAGTTCTGAGTTTCATGGTCCTTTCTGTCTTCTCCAGAAACTACAGTAATATCCTTACAGTTCCAGCATTTAATACACTAATGCCATAATTGTGTTTTGTGGAAAGAAAATAATGAAAGAAACAAAACAAAAAGAATAAGGAGAATTCTCATTTGAAGGATAAGACTTTATTTTGGGAAACTTCTGGAGTCTCAGATACTCTGAGCACATCCAGTGCCCAAACTTAACATGTGGGCTGCATTGACTTTCATGCTGAACATTAATATTGTCAACAGTAGATTTAGTGAGCAGTGAGGTCAACAAAATGGCATACTCAAACCAAGACAAGACAGTATAGAAGGAATTCACTGCACAATTAACCCCAGTTAATGCCCATTTGTGCATGTCCTGCTT